GCAGTGTTCCCTCAGCGACCAACGAGGTGACTGCCGTGCAATTAGAAGGATTATTTTGGCCCAGAGTTGGTGCTGTGTTTGGGTTTTTTTCAAGCGTGAGTGTTTTCTACAAGTCTGGTTCACAGTGGAGTTGTGGGAAGCCTGCCTCCTAACCATGAACTGTGGGTGGATATTCCACCGGGGGAGAGACCAACGCATTAATACTTACGCCACCGCATGTCTCCTTCAGCACATGGAGCTCTGATCTATGCTTTGGGTAGGGATTTGTGTGTGTCACATACCCGTCACAGCTGGCCCAAGGGAAGTGTTTTTTTTTTTTGTTTTTTTTTTCCCCATGGCTTGTGTTTAAGGGAACGCAGGAATTCGGGCTGGGAGATTTGCAATGACACCCAACTCTCTCCTTTCTAGAAAAGGTGGAACGTCTTCAAAGAGAGACGAGTACTTTGGGATCACAAACCTCGTGGAACACCCAGCGCAGCTCAACCCTCCAGGTACTGCCCCAGTTTTGGTCGTCTTCACTGTCAAACTCAAGATAAAATACTCTGAGCGGCCAGCACTTGGTGGAGTGAAGCACCATGCAGGCCCCCACTTAACACTGTGGCCCAGCATCTCTTGTCCCTCTGAGGAGAAGAAATTGTGCAAAGATAAGCCTGAAAGCTCTGCAGAGATAGTTGAAAATGGGAGGGAGAGTCTCTGCTGCGTTTTTGGAAACTTGATATAAAACCTGTAGCGGTAACCAGCAGCTCGCTTACATATCGATGTATTGTGCTCGGTGCTCGCTGGGCTGCAGACACAAGCTCCTCATGTCCAGCAGGTTGGTTTTGACCTTCTTTCCCTGAGGAAAGGACATGAAAATAACCACGGAGTCTTTTACTTTTCAGTAAAATCAAAAAAATAGCCAAAACCTGCCTTCCTGGTTCCGTGTTTGGTGGGAACAGCTTGCAGTGCTGCAGAGGTTGGGTTTGTCGCTCAAGTGTGGCTATAACAGAGCGTGGTGTGGGTGCAATGGTTGCAGGCAGTATTTCCTCTTGCTTTTTCAAAAGCAGATTTATGTTTATCTTTCTTCATTTCTCTTCCCAGTGGACAGTGACACACCAGTGACCCTGGGTGTTTATTTAACTAAGAAAGAGCAGAAGAAATTACGGCGACAGACTCGGAGAGAAGCCCAGAAGGAACTTCAAGAGAAAGTCAGGCTGGGCCTGATGCCACCGCCGGAGCCCAAAGGTAAATGACGGGCACGGGGCGGGCAGGCTGCCAGCAGAGCTCCGGGCTAACGCGGGCATGTAAGCCATCCAAATGGTGGCCCAGACCACGTGTGGACGTGGTTGGGAACACATAACCTCTGCGGGAGCGCACGGATCTGCGTATCGGTGTGTGTTGGTGTGATCCACCCCGTACAGCCGGTTTGCGAGCCTGGGAGTGGGCCTGGTGTTTCTGTGCTTTACCATTACGGCAAACGGGTGTCCGGCAGGAGCCTCTCACAGCTCCTCTCGTGTTTTCCTTGCAGTAAGAATTTCAAACTTGATGCGAGTACTGGGGACGGAAGCTGTTCAGGACCCAACAAAAGTCGAAGCTCACGTTAGAGCGCAGATGGCGAAGAGACAGAAGTAGGTGGCAAGTTTTAACCTCCTTTTTTTTTTTGTGGTCATTTTTAGATGGATCTAGTTCTGGTGCTGTGTTTGTATAGAACAAAATCCTTGAACTGATGCAGAAAAGCAGAAACAGTGTGGATTTTTTTTTTTTTTTTTTTTTCACATACTGATCATGTAGCCTATTTCAGCTACCTTGAACGACCCCTCCAAGGTGTGTGGGGAGTTGGGTCTTGGGGTCAGCTCTTGCCACTGGAGAGTGGCCTCGTGCCCTGTGTTAATCAAGTTTCTTGCAGTGATGATGATTGCCATTGCAGTTGTTACTAATTAATGTTTCCAGGGAAGAGACCATGAGGGAATTGGACTGGTGACTGGCTTAAAAAAAGCCCATGTGCTTTTAATACAGGCAGGTGCAGGTAGAAGCCTGGGCAGGATTTGGAGCTGCTTTGGGATCTGTGGAACATACTACGTGCTTAGGATGAGAAGGATCCGTCTCGATGCCATAACAGGTATGCCGTAGGCTGCCTTTTGCTTATCGCTGCCTCTCTCTTTGCATCCAGAGCTCATGAAGAAGCAAATGCTGCAAGAAAGCTCACAGCAGAACAGCGAAAAGCGAAGAAGGTTAAAAAGCTGAAAGAAGATGTTTCACAGGGAGTTCACATAGCTGTGTACAGGTGAGTGCTGGGCTGGGCGCTCTCGGTGGTGGTTCGCCATACGTGTCTCTCTATAGCTGACAAATGCCCTATGGAAATGTGCTGATAGAGAGGAGCAGCCTTCAGTAGCAGGACTGTGTGCCTACTTGTCAGGTTTTCATCAAGCATTAAAGAATCCTGGCCTGTAGGAATTACGTTGTCCCAACAGACATGTCCCTTAACTCTGACCTTAAGGTGTCCTGTTAGAGCCGAGCACTAAAATCATGTCAGGTTTGGAGCATTTCAGCTGGGATTTAAGCTTCTGATGAGGAGAGCCATTTCCCAGCTTTAAGAGCTAACCTGATTCATTGATGTCCAGAAATCAGAAAACTTTAAAGATCTAAATGAAATGAGAATGGGAAGGGACGGACACAGCTTCTCTGAGCAGTCTGCGTGTCATTTTGAGGTGTAGATAAAACCCCTGAGGAGCTGGAGGAGGAAATGCTGGAGCCAGAATAGGGAGCTCTTATGGCTGGTGATAATAGTTCTGCTTTTCCATGACCATTTCTTTTTTTTCTATTTGTTTTTTATCCTAAGGGTCAGAAACTTGAGCAATCCAGCAAAAAAATTCAAAATCGAGGCGAACGCTGGCCAGCTCTACTTAACAGGCGTGGTGGTTTTACACAAAGATGTCAACGTGGTCGTGGTAGAAGGAGGTGAGGACTTCCGAGGCAGGCTTTTGGTCACAGCGTAGCATTCAAAAGCTTGCCTCTAGCAGAAATTACCATGAAAATTGTTGACTGAGAGTTGCGGAAGGACAAGGAAGTAAGGAGGCCATTTGAAACTCCCTTAATTACGGCTCTAATGGGGTTAGTGCTGACTGGAGAGCACACTGTAATCCAGTTAGAAAACCCAGCGCATTTGCTGCTGAAGGGAAAAGCACTTGATTTGAATCCTTGATTCTCTGAGTGGATATTTAGAGTGAGGAGAGCCTCAGCTCTCAGTCTGGCATGGTTCCTCACAGTTTGTGCTATCCTAAGTAATTTTTCTGAGGTGTTGAAGAGCCTATTTGGCAGCAGGAAATCCCGAGGTGGCCGACAGTTGAGTGCCATGCTGTAGGATACGGGAAAGGCTCGGCCACCCCAGGGGTGTTAATGCTGGATCGGCCTGGCTGCTTTACATGCTGTGCCTGGCTGGCACGGAAGTGTTTGTGGATGTTGTTTGGCTTCCGCTGCTTTTTAGAAAACTTCCTAAAAACTGAAGTTTAAAGGACTTCATATGAACGTTGAGTCTTGATTCTTCCCCAGGCCCGAAAGCACAAAAGAAATTCAAACGTCTTATGCTTCATCGAATAAAGTGGGACGAGCAAACATCGAACACAAAGGGAGAGGGTAAGTGTAAAACTGTATGCAGGTGGGTGGTAAAGCAGCAGTGGGGCTCCTCGCTCTTCCTCTGCCTTTGAGACTAAAACTGGCTTTATTGGTTGGTTGTTTTTTTTTCTTTCAGATGATGATGAGTCTGACGAGGAATCTGTTAAGAAAACAAACAAATGCTCTTTGGTTTGGGAGGTGAGTCATAGGTGTAGTTCAAGATGGGGGTGCTCAGGCTGGAGGCAGGCGAGCCCTGTCTGACAGCAGCTGAGGCTTTGGATCGGATGCAAACCTGCTGCTCTGACTCTTTCCATAGCGTTTCTCGAGCTGTAGCAGCACTAGGAGCGTCTCCCCCGCACCGTGCTCGTGCAGCACGCCTCCTAGTCATGCCTCAGCCTGAAAACATGTTTATTTTACCCAAGTCACTGAGAACAGCGTTTCCTGTGACTTTTCCCCCCTGGAGATGGGTTGAGAAACATCCCTTTTCTCCTCCCAGGGCACAGCGAAGGACCGCAGCTTCGGCGAAATGAAATTTAAGCAGTGCCCCACTGAGAACATGGCACGGGAGCACTTTAAGAAGCACGCTGCGGAGCACTACTGGGACCTGGCCCTCAGCGAGTCCGTGCTGGAGTCCACAGACTGAGGCGCGGGGGCGGCCGCTGTCCCCCCCTGCCTCGCCCCACAGCCCCCCCACCAGATCTCGGACAGCCCCCTCCTTCCTCTGCTCTCCTCAGCACACCGATTAAAGACATATTTTTTAAAACAAATCACCGTTACGCTTGTTTTCAGGAGAAAGAGAGAGGTGGTGATGGTGGGGGGGGGGTGATGGTGCTTCTGCGTTTTGCTCTCTGTGGAAAGAAGTGGGGAGTGGGGTGATGCCTGCTCTCAGGAGTGGTTTTGAGGGAAGTGGGGGGGGCAAGCCCCCACACACACACTTAGGGTCCGGGGTTGGCAGCAGCCGCCTCCCCCTCTTTTATTTACGCCATAAAGTTTATTTCTTTTATCTTTTTTTTTTAAAGCCGAAGCGGTTTTCCAGCCCTACGCTCGTCACCAGGCCCGGCCGCCATCTTGCACGGCGAGGGCAGGGGCGCAGGCGCGCGCAAAGGGGCGGGGGGCAGGGCGGCCCGGCGCAGGCGCGGCGCGGCGGCGGCGCAGGCGCGGAGGGCGGGGGGGCGTGTGAGGGAGCCCGGCACAAAATGGCGGCGGGGGGGCGGGCGCTGCGTGCGGGGGGGGCCGGCCGGTGACCGCGCCGCCGCCGCCGCTCCCAGCCGCCGCCCGGGGCAGCGGGACGGGGCCGAAGGGCCGCGGCTGAACGATCGTCCTCGGGGGGGGGGGTGGGGGGGTGGGTAGGGGAGGGCGGGCGGCGGCGCCGCCGCCCGCCGTCTTTTCCTCGGCCCGGCGCAGCGGGCCTCCGCGTTCCCCGCCCCGCCGCGGCGGGCCCCGCCGCCTCCTGAGGCGCCGCCGGGCCGCGAGCGTAGCAGGGGAGCGGCCGCGCCGCCGCCGTCCGTGCGCGGCCCGGTTGGGCGAGCAGGGCGGGAAGATGGCGGCGGGCGGCGGAGGCGGCGGCCGGGCCTCCTCCTCCTCCTCCTCGGCCGCCGCCTCCTCCTCCTCGGCCGGCGCGCTGGAGGCCTCGCTCGACAGGAAGCTGCAGGCGGTGACCAACACGATGGAGTCCATCCAGGGCCTCTCCTCCTGGTGCCTGGAGAACAAGCGGCACCACAGCACCATCGTCTACCACTGGATGAAGTGGCTGCGCCGCTGTGAGTGCGGGCGGCGTGGCGGGGGAAGGCCGGGAGCGGTGGGGGGGGAACGGCTCTTGCACCGGGGCAGGTGCTTGTCCGCCTCCCCGCAGCCTCGTCCCGCTTCACCCGAGGCCGGGCGTGGGGCGGGAGGCAGCCGGCTGCGGGATCCGCGGAGGGGGGGGGAGGAAGGAGATGGGGTGCAGCTTACGCGCCTGCACCGGAGGTTTTGGACCCGACATCGGGCACTGAAGTGAGACGTGAGGTTTTCCGATCGCTCGGGAATCCGCTGGCGTTGCGTGGCCCCTGGGCAGGGTTTCTGCTTCGCATCACCTTGTCACGCTTAGTAAAATACAAATTGCGTGTCTGCACCTGAATAGTGGCCCCTTCAACCTCCTGAATTCTGTGTGTGTTTGCCCGCGGTCTGCTAACATGTTATTTTAAGAGCTGGGGGGAAAGATGCCTTCAGCTTTGTGGGGGTGAGGGGTTGTCGCTGTCCCCTTCCACAGGCTTTTTCTGTTGTGGGCACAAATAAGTGTTGGGTGCCAAGCTTGGATTTGGCGAGCACCCGCGGGCGATGCAGCAGTGACCCGAGAGTGGGAAAGTTAATGTTTTCATGAGTCTAAACAAGGCGGCGTTATCTCCGCTGTCTTGCTGCCGTGTGAAGGTTTTGCCTGTTGTTGCAGGAATTAAAGCAAGCTTAGCAGTAACGCGAAGATAACATTCCCATTTCAAAGTATCGGTCTGGTTTGTGTTAAGTCTTTTGTAAAGTTTGAGGTAGCCGGTTTTCTCTGTCAAGGCCGTTTTGCAAAATGCGGAGGGCCCTCTTCCCCCAAATTTTGATTTATTTTTTTTCACGTCTGTACACCATGTGATTAAAGAGAGTAAGGTAGGAGCCTGAGGGCTGTTCTCTGGTCCCTACTGACCTGCTGGTGAGGAGAAGCTGGCCCTGGTCCATCCTGCCTCACTGTTGTTGGCCAACTCACCTGGAAATCCTATTCCCTTTGACAGCCCTTGTCACCAGAGGTGGCCTGTGGGACTGTCCTTGGCCCAAGCACACCCCCTCCAAATAAAATCCAGCTCCTGTCTCTCCTTGGGATGTGCAGCCGCCTCTGGACTTGGTGTCTCTTCTCACAGCTGCCATTCTGGCTCCTCTCTAAGACCTCAGTGAAAGCAGTGTTCACTTTTGTTTGACTTTAACAAACTCTGGAAACCTAAGGAAGTTCAAAAGTACTGGGAAATAGCTGTTGCTTTAACAGTATTTTAAAAGGTTAATAGAGCAATTATATAAAATGAATGATGTGTTTGATTGTTTTAATGATTGATTGTGGTTTCAAATGTTTGATTGACAAGTGCATGCTGATATTAGGAATATTAGAATTTTCAGGAATTTCTTTGGTATTGTGCAAAATACTAGTCCTAAACAAATTCAGGAGCCTGAATGCAGCAACTCGGTCCCTGCCTGTACCTCAGGGCAGGTCATTGCTTTGCCTGGCTGCTCGCCGGGAGTGTGGAACCTTTGTGTCAGTGCAACTCCCCCATGTTTATCGTCGTACAGCTCCCATCCCGCTGGCTTGTGGAGCCGAGACTCTTCCCTGGATTCCTGCCGCTTCTCCATGGCTGACATTCGTCTTAGCTGCCTTGGCCAGGAGCTGAAGAGCTTCCAGAGATGCTGCTTTGGCTCTTCCCCTTCCCTCTCCCTTGTGCTCCTTCGTTAATCCTTCCCTCCTTCCCAAGCTCATCAAAAGAAATTTAATTGTTCCCCCTTGCAGGGCCCTTGATGCTCCGTTCCTGCCCTGCTGGGCTGTCGGCTCCTGCCCCTCAGCCCTTGGTACCAGCCTGGGGGTTTTTGTTTTATTTTGGTATGAACGCTTTCAAGGCTTTTCTTGCATATCCCTTGTGAGGATCACCCCTCCTGTTTGAACAGGTTCCTCCTTAAGCATCTTATTTGAGGTACCAGCTAAAATAATCCTTGACAGTGGCCATGATGCTGCTGTGCCCTGACCCCTGTTTATTTGGTTACTTCCCACTTATGTGTTTGGGGTTTTTTTCCTGCTTTTCCCTTTGTGGTACACTTCATTCTCTGCCCCAAGGACCTCGCAGCCTCTCCATGTTCTCACGCAGCAAGAAGTTACAGTCCCAACCAGAAGAGTTCAGTGATAATAACAATGGCGAGTGCCACTTGGGTTTGGGTTCCTTTCCTAGCTTTTAAATATTCTAACTCAAAAGCTTTTAACAATGCATAGAAGCTGTTTTTTCCAGGGAGCTCCTTGCGAAGGATGGATGTGATGGGGTCAGGGACTGTATCTCGGTGCTCTACCCGGGTGAAGGTGAAGGCACCTGCACTTAATCAAGGGGGAGAAGTGCATTCGTGTCTTTTAGATGTGCATCTCTGTTAGGTGTGAAACCTTTGATTAGGGCAGTTCCTGCCCAATGTCTCTCCAGCGATGCTGGCACTAGGCTGAGGGCAGTTTCTTGCAGGAGACATGTAGAAAATGTCAAGTGTGGAGAAAAAGATTGGCCTTTTTATACTTTATCTTTTATAAATCAGAGTAAGTAGGCGTTGGGCTTGCTTGCGGGGCAGTTGGTGCTCGTGCCTTGGGCTGTGAAGGGGTTTTGCCCCAAGCATTGGTGGTGTCGTGGGTGCTCCTGCCCTGGGTTGGGGTCAGTCCCTCTCCTTCCACACACTCTTGGGAGGAAACAGCTGCATTTTGCTGTGGATATTTCCTAGCATCTTCATTTTACCGTATGTCAACAGATTTTTTTCTGTGCTTCACTGTTAGATATTTGTTTCAGCTGATGTGAAAAGTACAGTTTAACCAAAGAGATGTGTGGCCACTTGGATAAAGAATTTGATCCTTTCAGAAAGAAAAAGAGTGCTGGCATTTAAATACGTTGTTGTTGACATGGGCATCCCCCTTCCCAGGTCAAGGCTTGTCCTGAGCACGAGCCAGTCACGGCTGCAGTAGTTGGCCAAGAGTGTCACGACATAAATGTTTCTGAGAGGTAGTGCTGTGATAACTTTACCTCTGGGAGGTTTCGGTTGTGAATCAGGAGCTTTCTTGTAGGAAAATCTTGCCGGTGTGTCCATATGAGCAGCTCTTAAATGCAAGTTAGATTGAACACACTGCGCACCGGCTGCATGGAGATGTCGGTCAGTGGAGCTGGTGGCCATCCTGGAGCTGAGCAAAAAGCTGGGGTGGGCTCAGTTATAAAATTTCCTGTTTCTTGTCTGTATTTCCTCTCCAGTTTAAGCCAAGACAGTCTTAAGAGTAATTAAGAAGCCGTTCACCCGTCAGATATGGCTAGTTGCATAAGGTGGTTGAAACCCCTTGTACAAAGTTCATTTTGGACCGAAAGGCACTTGGTGTAATTTGTGTGGTTTGTCCATAGCCTAGGTATTGGTCTAGCATGGATTTTTCCTTCTGTACAATTTGAGCAGATCTTGTTTTATGCTAAATTAATTCTGCCTTGGCTGAAGTCTGCATTCAGCCTTGTGGAAACAGTGGCAGTGGTGATGGTGTGAGCTGTGCTCCATGTGCTTGGTGTTTGTCTTAAACTTGGCTCTGGGTTTTCCTGCTGTGTTTGAATGCTGTGCATACATTGAATCGTTTAAATCAAAGGTTTATATATCTTCAAGATCTATTTTACGATACGTCAGAAGATCTGAAATCAGTGCCATTTCTGCTGGTGAATAACGTCACATTCAGTGACCAGCAGGGGAGTTAGCAGTGAAGTGCTGGGTTTTAATTAAATCGCAGAAAACCTGTTTTGTTGGGATGATGATCTGATAGATTATTGAGGCTGGTGTTTTGGGGAACGATGGTTCCAAATCGTTTTGGGAAGCCAGGCAAGCTCAGCACTGCTCCGGTTGGATTTCCAGCCCTCGGGGCAGAGCAGAGCACTCCTCACTCCACTCCTCACTCAAACAAACAAACCCCAGTCTGCCATGTAAGCACGTTCAGGGTGAAGGTTGTAAATAACAGTTTCTGGTAATGAATCCTTGGGTTTGTTGCTATAAAAGCTTATTCTGGAACGTGGGATCGGAGGCTTCTTGACATGGCAGATGCCGGAGCAGAGTAGCCTCATGGGAAGGATGAAAAATACCTTCAGGAAAAAAATAGTTGGAAAATACGTGAGGAGCAAAGTTACAGGTGAGAAGTCGGCCGCAGTGCTGGCGGAGGCAGCGGCTGTGCGATGCCCGGCTCGGGTCTCACACCTTCGACCCTGTGTCTGGTGGCTGTGGCAGGGGAGCAGGGACATCCTGGGGGCTGGCTGTCCCCTTGACCTGCCCATGCTGTTCCTGCCCCAGGTGTAGTGCTGGACGATGCTTCTTGCTCACCCATTGGTCTGTAGTGACTCTGGGCACCAGCAGCGAGCAGGAAGAATCGGTGCTGCTTGTAAGGGTTTGTGAAGGCTTCACAGCATCAACCTGTTGAGGATTTGACAGTCAAACCAAACTAAAGCTTTGCAGGTATCCTCAGCTTTGCTTTCCTGAAGAGGCTGCCTTCTGTGGAAGGTCTTCATTTGAACAATTAGCTTGCTAAGTTATCCCTCAATATAAGTAAGTTAGCGTAGAGCTCATATGGTCAAAATGTTCCTGGCGTGAGCTTTCAAGGCAAGCTCCCTGTGTGCTGGGACTCCTGTGCTAGGTGGGTGCTGGACCCAGGTCCGGTTGCTTGGTGCTGATTCCTCGTCCAGGATTGAGCCCTTCTGCAGGAAGGGTGTGCGAGAGCACGTGCAAGAGTTGTGCACAGAGAGGAGTCCCGGGCAGCACCAGCATTTCGTGGCCAGCTTCCCATATGCGAGTACACTGTGTCATACGTGAGCAGGGATTCTCTGCCTGATAATATTTGGCTTTTGAATAATTGCATTCAATATGCTAAAAATTAACTAACCCCGTATTTCTGTTGCTACGATCCTACTTTGATGGACTCCTTGCCAGGAGTCTCTTGGTGGCCACTTCTCCGAATTGGAGAGGAATGTTGGAAAAGAGGCAGGTGATAAAATTTAGCAATTAGTTTTCAATAAAAGCGCATGATCTTATTAGCTGGAAAATACTTAAGTAGTGGCTTTTCTGTAGGTGCAATCTAAGGTGCAGATGAGTTTTGTGAAAAATACTGGCTTTATTTTTGGTTGGCTTTGAGCAGGAGGAATGTGTGGAGCTGCTGGAGATTGAGTCGCCGCGGTAGAGTGGTTTGAGGTTTTTCGGCGACGGGTTGTGAGTGTGGGAGCGGTGTCAGTAAGGGGTAAGCTCCCACCAGGGTCTTTGGACAAGGAATGATGCTGAGAGCTTCCCAACAGGAAATCCAGAGACCAGGAGGGCCGCGAGGTGCAGCCGTGCTGTGGGAAGAGGCTCTGCCGAGGTAGAGACAACTGGAAAAATGAAGCAGGATGGAGAATTAAAAGATTTGTAGATAAAAAACCTGATTACTAATGCAGCTGGGGTACAGCTGGAGGGGGGTATAACGCGGGAAAGGTGGGAGCCTGATAGAGCTCATGGGCACGTGAAACAAAACCGGCTATTGTCACTGCTCCTATTTTTAAATCCTCGTGTTGTGTTGTTAAATTAAGTGAAGAAGCTAATTAGCATGTGGATGAGATTACTGCGCTACAAGCGCTGTTACTGGCTGACTGAAGAGGTTTGATGAAATAATTAAATTTGGAGCTGAATATAAGGCAGATCAAAGGTGCGTTTGGTGCGGGTGCGTTTGGAGTACAACTGGGGGTGGGAGGTCTGGGTGCGAAGGTCAGTGCCAGCTCAGTGGGGACAAGGGAGGTGTTTTTGGAGAAACCGATCTCTGGAAGAGAAGGGATGGGGATCCGGGGTCCTTTGTGTGCTGCACAAAAGCTGGTGCCTGGCTGGTGTTAAATCGCATGTTGGGAAGGGCCGTCCAGGCAGCTGCGTCCGAGGAACCGGCAGCACTTACTAAACATATTAATAAACACTTGCTTATTAATAGGAGGCATTTAAAGGGATGTGGGGGAGGTCTCCCGGTCTGTAGTAAGTGCCCTCTGGACAGCTATGGAGATAGGTACATGTCTGGTAAAACCTTCCCGATAAAGCTGTAAATCTTAGAGACCATTTTAAGCCATTACAGCTTTAAAAAAGGGAGATTTATACATGATGATTCATAGAAAATATGAATAAGTGGCCTCTGAATTAGTGGCCGAGAGGTTACACTGAGTCTGTAGCCAAATGAGGTGATGCTGGAGCTTCAGAGACCAGACCAGAGACACGCTCTGGAGCGGTTGAGATTTTGTCCCTGCAGAAGTTTGTGCCATTTTGTGTTTGACCTCTTAGCGCAGGCGGTGCTGATCTTTCTGGCTGTATTGTTCCTCTTGCTGGGCAGGTATCTTAGAAGTAGCATGGGTCCACGGCTTTTTGTGCCCTTTCTAAGCCCAAGTCAGAGTCAAGGCTTGCCATTACCAAACATGCAGTTTTGGGGAAGATCTTGAAAGGATTTGTAAATTGAAGATTTCCTCTGTAGTCCCCAGTTTTGACCATTGGACTTGCCCTTGGATGCGCCCTTGACAGAAATGCTGAAAACCTCCCCAAAAACAGGCACTTAAATGTTGTTATCAAACTGTGGCTGACACAACTGCTTCTACTCAATGATGAATCTGAGTTTTCTTTTTGTCTTTAGCTGCCTTTCCTCATCGACTGAACCTTTTTTACTTGGCCAATGACGTCATACAGAACTGCAAGAGAAAAAACGCGATTGTCTTTCGTGATACATTTGCAGAAGTGCTTCCTGAAGCTGCTTCATTAGTGAAGTAAGTGACGGTGTGTTGGAAGGTTGAATGTCTCAAAAAATGTGAATTTTTCTTCTAACTTCTAAACTCCCTGGAAACATCAGCAACATTTCAAGGATTTTGTTCAAATGACTGTGTGAGTTTGAGCTACTCTACAAGGAGCGTGCTAGAACAGGTGTAGAGCTGCCTTTTAATTTGCGTGGGGGTCTCATTTGAGTAAAGTTATCATGTGAAGTGGTGTGAGGGGCAAGCCTTGCACTGATATGTGTGTGCCCGGTAGCTCTACCCTCCCCTTGCACACAGGCACTGTGGCTTGTCCTGCTGCTGCTGGGGGGTTGGTGGCAGACTCAGGGGAATGCTTGCCGTGAGAAGGGGTATGACAAGACTGGGAGGAAGAGGAGGAGGAGGAGGAGGTCTTTGCGGTCTCCACCAAGAGTACAAGCATCGCAGATGCCAGTTGAATCCCTGCCTGCCTTCTGCGAGCTGCTTCTCTGATGCCATACCTGTCTGCTAAAACGTTATTTTATTTCAAAGTAACGCGTTCTCAAAGGTGGTTTTGTGCTCTGCTGGAAATTGAAGACTTTAATTTATTAGAGTAGCGTGGGACAAAAAGATCTCATGCTGGCATGTGTCCAGATGGAGCAAGCCCCATCCTGTTGTTGCTGCCCTCTGTGTTGATTTACAGACCTTCCTCAAATCAGATGGTTTATAAGGGGCAGAACATAGTGAAAATACAAAGCAGCTCCTTAGCAGTAATGCGATGTTGCTGATTTGTGTGTCTTTGGAACAGAGTTTGAAGTGGCAGATGGTTGAACATAGCATGAAGCAGAGAAAAGGTTAAAGTTGGACTGTTCATTAGCTTATATTTAAATGTAAGTTGCCAGAAGAGAAAGTTGAAAATACCATTAATAGATGCCAGCAATGAGAAGGAGGGAGAAAAAATTCTGGGGCTATCAGCTACCAAAACGTAAGAGAGAAGGAAAAGCTACAGTAAGAATTACAAGTTCCTGATTCTTTGGGAGCCCAGACAGGCTTTACCAAGCCTGGTCCTATTCGAGGTGTTGATATAGAAATGATGAAATGGATAGAAGTTCTGTGAACTTGCTGCTTCTATCCTTCAGCATTTGTGTAACTCGGGAGTGTGACTTGGCTACCCTTTATGGACACTGTGAGGGATTTTTGTCTCTTCCATGTGCACCTTGCTGGCTCTGACAGGTGGTGTCACTCTGCAAAGCTTTGTGTGGCCGAGGACAGCACTGTCACTCCATGGCAGAATCTCGGTGACTGACCTTCTTCCAGTCAGTTTAAAAAACGGTAAAAGTGGGCAGAAAACGAGCTTCTCTTTCTTGGGTCACTGAGCTGGAACGTGAATGCAGCAGAGCCTAAAGTCATCATCACAGACTGGTTTGAGCTGGAAGGGACCTTAAAGCCCCTCCAGTGCCACCCCCCTGCCCCGGGCAGGGCCCCCTTCGCCCAGCCCAGGGGGCTCCCAGCCCCGTCCAACCTGGCCTTGAACCCTTCCAGGGAGGGGGCAGCCACAGCTGCTCTGGGCACCCAGGGCCAGCGCCTCACCCCCCTCACAGGGAAGGATTTCTGCCTTAGATCTCACCTAAATCTTCCCTCTTTCAATTTAAAACTTACCCCTTGTGCTAAACCCATACTCCCTGCTAAAGAGTCCCTCCCCACCTTTCCTCCCCCCCCTTTAAGCCCTGGGAGGCCACTCGAAGGGCTCCCCGGAGCCTTCTCTTCTCCAGGCTGAACCCCCCCAACTCTCTCAGCCCGGCCCCCCAGGGGAGCTGCTCCAGCCCCCCCAGCATCTCCGTGGCCTCCTCTGGCCCCGCTCGAGCAGCTCCGTGTCCTTCTGCTGTTGGGGGCCCCCGAGCTGGCCCCAGCACTGCAGGGGGGGTCTCCCCAGAGCGGAGCAGAGGGGGAGAATCCCCTCCCTGGCCCTGCTGCCCCCCCCTTCTCTGGCTGCAGCCCAGGGCACGGGTGGGTTCTGGGCTGCAGGCAGAAGTTGAGTCAGATGGCTGCTCAGGTGGTCGTTAAAAGGTCCCTCCTGACCCAAACGGTTCCACCCTTCCTTCCATAGCTCTGGCTGGCAGAGCACCCACCGCCCATGGGTGCGGAGCAGCCCCTTTGCTCTGGGTTTGGAGCCCTGGCGCGATGACATCTGCTGCCTGGGTCCCACAGGGAGCGGGCAGTGGCAGCTCTGCTTTCCATTTAGAGTTTATTATTCTGAGCTTGAGTCCTCTGGGGCAGTCGCTTCTGATTGTTGGCAGGTTCAAGCTCATGAGCTGCACTCAAATTGCTAAATTCAGGGTGCAGGAACTTTAATTTGGGTTGCTTTGCAGGAAGTGCTCTTTGCTTGGGTGATTAGCAGGGTGACGAGTGGGTCCGAACCCTTGTGTTGACTCAGTTATCTTACCTGGCGTTTTTTTTCCTTGAAACAGAAGTGCCTGGACAAGATACACTATTTGAGACCAAGTCGTCTCTTTTTTTTTTTTTTTTTTTTTTTTTCCTTTGGAGATTCTTACAGATGACATTACTTGACTCCCAAGGCTGATGCTGCTAGGCACAGAGGGGATCTGTGATCAGAGATGAGTGGGAGAGCTCGTCCTGATGAAGTTCAACGCCTCTGATCACCTGCTCTACAGTCACTTCTCTCTGAAGCAGTTACTCTTCTCTGTGAAGAAAGTAATGTTTTCTTTTTTCCCCACCCTGGAATAATCACTTTTTTCCCAGAGCATCCATACAGAAAGCTGCTTTGGAAGAGTAACAAGCATTTTTTTTCCCATGAAGAAAAGGTTTGGAGAAACCCTATTGGTGTTCCTACTGCTCTGAAACCTTCTAATTTTACCCAGAAAAGGGCCCCGATCCATTACAATGTGGAAGTGTGTGTATGCTTAATTCCAGGTGTGTGGACTTTTTGCGTTGGTCTCACTGGGACCCCTTGCTATAGAACTGAAGTTGTCACCTGGACAGAGAGCTTCCTAGTCTGAAGGGTCTTTTAAAGTTTCGCTCTAAATACATAATTACTTACATTATTACCCATTCTGGAATCACAAGAAGTTACAGTGTGGGGGTAAAGAAAACTCACTATGCTCTTCTTTTCCAGGGATCCATCTGTTTCCAAATCTATCGAAAGAATCTTCAAAATCTGGGAGGACAGAAATGTGTACCCTGAAGAAACCATTTTGGCACTAAAAGAAGCTCTGAGTAAGTTACTTGTCCTTTGCATTTCTTACCTTACAAACTAACGTGTGAGGTCTAAGAAAATGTCTGGAATCGTTGAGTAAAACGAGCTTCTATCTGTTCTTTCTGCATTTGCACCTAGCACAGACTTTAAAGTAGCGAGGTGTTGTACGTGAGCAGCACTGAATTCACCTGCTTCACATTTTTTGTACCTTTCTAAAGACAGCTCTGAATCCTTTCACGTAAGCTGGAATTGTTCCAGCTGAGAGTAAACAGAACGTGAGGGTAAAGTGGTCCTACAAGTCCTGAACAAGGTGCCCTGGCTCTACCTTTGTGTCCCTGGCTCTACCTTTGAGTCTGTTTTAACAATAAGTTGTTTTTACTAATAATATCTGTGGGGTAGGAAGGAGGCTGGAAGCAAAGCTGGAGAGTAAAGTGTCCTCAAGTACTTACGAAGGAACTCTGCTTAAAAGCTGATATGGCTAATGTTAACTGAAACATGCGTAGTCAGTTAAAACCAGAAATGAGCCAATACTCAAATACTTGAAGGAAACTAGTCCGTGTTTCTGCTTTACTTGGTTACATCATTGAAAGCTAAAGGTGCTTCAGGAGATCCTCACCTGTGGTTTTGAGAGCCGGTTGTCGGCATGGCAGGAGAAACACAGTGTTTCGGGTTCAGGCTTTGGCACGTGAAAAGGCTTTAGTTGAGTGTTGCATGTTGAGAAGTGGATTTTGTGCGTACGTTCTGAAATCTCTAATTTTTGTAACCTGAAAGCAAAAATATTTCAACTTACTTGTGAATTAGGTATTGTGGCTGTTTTCCCGACTTGCATTACTTGCCTGTTGAATGCTGATGCTGTAAAAGCCTACCTAAAGAGCCGAGCGGTGTAGCTTTATTATTAGTTGCCTTGTGTTTTTCCTTTTTACTTTGGTCATTACTGTGATTTTTGAACTGTCTTAGTGTAAGGGCAAACAGAAACTTGATTTAAAAATGGAAGACCACCCCACAGGTTGCTGTATTCCTGAGTAAACTTAGGTTCTCTTGGGCATCCAGCAGCTCCTCTAAGGAAGTTGGTCTAGGTATTTTAAAACAAATTTCTGTTCACTCTTTTACGTGCAACCGTATGGCACCAAAACCAGATTCTTAAAGGAATCCCATAATGCCAGACTGCAAAAAATGAAATGTTTTCCAGGTACCACTTTCAAAACTCAGAAGCAGCTGAAAGAAACTCTGAACAAACAACCGAATAAGCCGTGGAAGAAATCACAAAGTAAGGAAACAATGTGAACTCTCTGAACTAATATAGAAATTGCCTTCTTGTGGAACAGAAGAAAGGCTAGCCCAAACCGGGCAAAGTACCTGGACTAAAACATGAGCCAGCATGCATCTTCCAGGCTTGTAAAGCTCCTTACAGACTAATATGTAAAGCACCAAGGAGTTGTTGCTAGAGAACCACTTTTAAAGGAATGAAGTAACAAAAAAATTAAATCTTTATGAGAGCGGAGGTTATGAACAGGAGAGGAAAGAGCTGGTGGAACCTCTTGGAAACTGGCATTAGACTATTCAGAGATGGAGAGAAGACAGACAGAACCGTGTACTTTGGCAGCAGGAGGTGGACACTACCTTCGTGCTCGGGAACACATCTTCAACAGCAAACAGGGTGCTAGGATAAAAGAAAACTGGAAGCTGGCAGTGCAGATAATGAACTTTGGCGTCCGACAGTACCGGGAGTACAGTCTAGCAGGAAATGTGTTTATAATATACCACTCTTACTAATCTCATTATATGCTAAAGCCTTGAATGGTCCGTAAAGCGAAATGGTGGAACGTTAGGTGTAAGATGTGGCGTGTGCCCGCCCGCACAGGTGCTGAGATCAGAAGGTTTAACAGTTTGGAAGCGTTTATTACTTGGCTTAACAACACAAGCTGCTTTCCCAAACAAAAATGTGCTATATTCAGCATGGATGAAGGGTTTAGCATTTTGCTTCTTATCAGATGTTTCTCCTGTTTTGCCCAGAAACCAGTGGATTTAGTGTCTCTTGACAGTGGGATTTGATCCCCCCTGCTCTGTTAATAAGATGTCAGAATAGTGGTATAAGAGTTTTTAAGGTTGAGAGCGTGGTTAGGCCTAGTAAGTACTGAAAGGAGGACCCCGTCCAAAGGAAACGCTGGGCTGCACATGTCAGCTCTAAGTCTGGCACTTAGGAAATAACATTACTTTCCCTGTAGAGAGGTATAAAGTCATCAGATAAGGCTGTTAGATCAACCCTTGCAGGGACTTGTCTTCCCAACCGTAGAGCTGGAAAAGGTATGCACAGTAAATTTTTATAGCATGTTAAAAAAAAAAAAAAAGGCAATAGTATATAATTTGTTGGCCTCAGTCACAATCTAGCTGCACGTGGCTGTGTCCCAATTAGCTAATGGAAAGCCAGAGCACTGAGGGACATCTGTGTGGAGGGGAAAATATAATGAGTAACAACAGCCTGCAAATCTTTCGTGGAATTATGTTAAAATATTTTTTATTAGAACTGTCTTTTGTGACTTTTAGTCAGGCTGTAGTTCCTTGATTTCTTTATACTTTTTCTTTATTCCAACAGCATCCACGAACCCAAAAGCTGCTTTGAAGTCCAAGATTGTTGCTGAATTCAGAGTAAGTCTGCAAGTGGAAGCATTCTATTGCACTATTATCCATCCTTGGGCTGTGGCTTTTGTGTAGCTTATCTCCACCAGCAGCATAAACTCGATGGGAAGCTCGAGCGTTCGGTGTCTTTTAGTTCCTTGGCACATAATGCCTGCTAGACATTGCAGCTGTGAGTTTTGTTAGGGCTGCCACCCCGTTTGTGCACTGTTAGGGACAATAAGGAAGTTGGAAAGTGTTCGGAGCGCTGCGGAGGATCCCCGCAGAAACACCGGTTTTCATTTCGGGTGATCTCGTACAAGAGAGCTGTTCACCTTCCAGGGAGCTCCATGAAATCCATGGGCCCCTATGCTTAGAGGGGCTGGCCGAGGTGTATGGTCAGGTCATCCTAGTGAAGGAGGAGTTTAGGGTGGCTGAGGAGTTGGTGGCGAGGAATTTATCTAAATTAGATGCCCAAAAGAAGTGCAGTGTGTTAATGAAATGCATGGGCACTAGTAGAGTGAGAAAAAGGAAAGAAGAAAGGCCTGTCCCTACTCTTAACCATCATAACCAGGAGACTTGTGGAATTACAGCCTCTGCCTGAGCCAGAGTCCGCTGATCTGTTTGACTTGAGGTTTTTAACCCAGAGATTTAAACCCAGAGGTTCGCCCGGTTTGTTTCTGCGTTAGCTCCCGTTTGGAAATGGTCTTGAACCCGGAGTGTTGTTTGTCGCTGAAGCAGATCTGTGCCGTTAGCTCTGCGCAGCAGGGCTTCTCTTCCATGGAATGTGATGAGGATGCTTTTCTTGTTTTTTTTTTTTGTTTTGTTTTGTTTTGGTTTGGTTTTTTTGTTTTGTTTTTTTTTTTCCAGCCACAGTCTCTCATTGATGAATTGCTATTATATAAGCGCTCAGAAGACCAGATAGAGCTGAAAGAGAAGCAGCTCTCCACTATGAGGGTGGATGTGTGCAGCACTGAAACTCTTAAGTGCTTAAAAGGTAAAGACGGCGTATAACATACAAAACCCGAGGTAATTAAAGGAGACACAGATACAATTGTCGGAGCCTCTGGGTTCTGTTGAGCCTTAGACCAGAAATCAGACTGGGTCTGTAAAATGCCAAAATTTCAAAGTGCAATTAAGAACTACCAAGCAGGAGCCTAAAACTTCTGTTAGTTTGAACCTGCTCAAAGAAACCTGCAAATACAGGGCTCAGAGCAAGCAGAAGTGATGAAGATGTGTTTTGTACTATGCAAACACGCTCTCGTGTATTGTTAAAACATGCATTGTTCTTAATGTGTTCAGAACCCCTTAAATAATTTTGGATTTCATATTTTAAATTAATTAAGGCATCCATCAGTGGCTACTGTCTGAGAATGCCAGTTGTGAGTCCGATGGCAAGCAGCGCGTATTAGGGATAAATGAACTGAGTTATGTTGAGCTGTATCAACAGGAAATTTAATTGTAAAACTGCAGATAGCTCTAGCTGTGCTTGGTAACCCATGACTGCAGTCTTTGAAAATGGTCATTTACAGTCGTGGTCGCTCGTAGGTGTTGTGAACCCTGATGATGTAGGAACTCTTGGAATACAGTAGCAAAGAAAAAATAAAACTCAAGATTTTTGCCTCTTCCAAAGTGAAAGTAGGCTCCCGGGGTAGTTGAAAGTGTAAAATTTTACACTTCTGTGTCTTTATTCATCACTTATAACTAGTTGCAAAACAATACAGACTGCTAGCAGCTTGGCCTCTCTTTTTCAATGGCTGCTGATGGATGAAGGGGGTGGTCTGGGGAGCGTACGGCGTGATGCAGTGTCCGTACTCTGACCTTCCCGGTTGCTGCTGTCGAGGCCGCGCTTCTGAGAGCTGATTTCCCATTTGGGGGACAGCAGCTTATTTACGTGCTGCTAATCTCCTTGCAGACAAAACAGGAGGAAAGAAGTTCTCCAAGGAGTTTGAAGAAGCAAGTTCAAAGCTGGAAGAGTTTGTAAATGGCTTAGACAAACAAGTGAAAAATGGGCCTTCTCTCACGGAAGCCCTGGAGAACGCTGGTATATTTTATGAAGCACAGTATAAGGAAGTCAAGGTGGTAGCAAATGTAAGTACGCTTTTCCTTGATCCTCCTCAGGCAGACCGACATCCCCCTGTGTTTGCTAAGCATCTCAGAGGCTAGAAAATGCATCATGGCTCTTCACAAATAAAGAAGTTTGGTGCGGTTGTTGTACAGATGGTTTCAAAAGAGAGCAGAGTTGAGGTGTTGGGCAAGAAAAGGAGACACGAAAAAAATGCACGGGTCAGAAGCTCAATTCTTGTATGTTGTTGGAATTTTGTAGCCCACCCTGGATGGGAGTGAAATTACAGTTAGTCTAACAAATCCTAAATTCTGGAAACTGTACAAGTCGTGATTAATATGCAAACTAGATGAAAAAAGAAAGAATTCGGTAAAGCATTGTGAAAACCAGCAAGCCCCCTTAACCCTACAAAAAAAAACCCTCAAAAACAAACAGGCAGCATACTTCTTAGAAAATCCTGGGGTTTATGAAAATTGTTTTAAGTCACTGGAAAAAGGTTTTACCTTCCCCTTTTTTTGTGGTTGTTTCTCTGCAAGTCACACTGAAAAGCTGAGTTCTGACTGCAGGGTACAGGTAATTGGAAATGATTTTTCTAAGACGGTGTGCTTCATCATTAGGGAAGTGATTGAGGCACGCTCTCTTCCTATAAAAGATACTCAGTTTGCTGTCCTTTCTTTCTTAGGCTTACAAAACATTTGCTAATCGAGTGAGCAATCTAAAGAAAAAGCTAGACCAGTTGAAAGCAACGCTTCCGGATCCGGAGGAATCTCCTGTCCCTTCTCCAAGTATGGATGCTCCATCTCCGACGGGCTCCGAGTCGCCTTTTCAGGGGATGGGGGAGGAGGATAACTCCCGGTCTCCAGTGGTCGGAAGCCGCAAGACGGTATCTCCGGAGCCTGTGACGGATAATCGGGATGTGGAAGACATGGAGCTCTCTGATGTGGAGGATGATACGTCTAAAATTATTGGTACGTTGCGTGGGGCGGGGTGGGGGGGGCCGGGCAGCAGAGTAATTGTCATGTAGAAATTACATTGAGACAAAACAACCCTTTTGAGCCTCGTTGGGATGTAGCGGATGCGGCAAAGCCCTCGCTGGGCTGCGGGTTGGTCCTGTTGGGTTTCACTCTTCTGCCCCAGTCCCCTCAGACAAAGCAGGGAAATCCCGATCTAGCCGTGATTGTTCCCATCTCCCAAACCACCCAGCGAATACGTTTTCACACCGCCTGCGGGAATCGGCCCTAACGTGCCCATTGAAAATCCTGTACCCCGAGTAATTCCGCAGGGACAGGGTGATGATTGTGGTCTCGTTCTCCTCCTCCCTGATGCAGTGGAAGAGAGGAAGGAGAAGCAGGCTGCTCCAGCTTCGGCACCCGCGAAGGCTGAGAGCGTCCCCAAAGCGGTGCCGTCTACCGCTGCAGCAGGCACAACTTCGGTGACAGTGACGCCGCCTGCCCAGACTCCTCCGGCTCCTCCGGCTCCGAAGGCAGTGAGCGCAGCGCCCGTCCCTCCGTCGCCAGCGCTTGCGTTGCCCAACCTGGCCAACGTGGACCTGGCAAAGATCAGCTCCATTCTTAGCAGTTTAACTTCTGTAATGAAAAATACAGGTGAGTGCTGAAGCGGTACTAGCCCAGGTGTTTGGTTAATGGAGCCGACAATGGAGTTTGGTTTTGTAACCTTTTAAAGCTTTAATTGTCTCAAAATAAACGTGAGTGAGTTACTGTTTAAAAGATCTGGCTCAGTCTCTCTGACACACGACTGTCGGCTTCGTGAGCCTCTCCTTGGTCACGCTCGGCGGAGCTCTGCTGCAGTTGTAACTGTGGAACAAACCTGAGCTAAGAAAAAGCTTCCGTTAACGAAGCAACGTACGTGAGTGGTGTGTGCTTCCATCCTAGGTGTCAGTCCCGCCTCGAGACCTTCTCCAGGAACCCCGACGAGCCCAACAGCTCTTACTAGTGGCCTGAAGACTCCTGTCATGGGGACTCCGTCTGCTCCTTCAAACCCGTTAGCAAACATTCTCTCCAAAGTTGAAATAACTCCCGAAAGTATTTTGTCTGCTCTCTCCAAAACCCAGACTCAGACTGCACCAGCATTGCAAGGTACCGGAGTGGGTCTTGAGGGAATGGCTAACTCTGTATTTGATGGTAGCAGCCGCGCTGAAACGTGCTGCTCTGCTTACCCTAAAGTGAAAATGAGGGGAGAAAATCTTACTTGGAATGTATTACGTCTGTGGCAAATGCAGATGACTTTTTGTCAGGTTGCTTATGTGTTATGGACCAGTGAGTTTTATTACTTCATATTTTCGCCATGACCGAAGCGCACTTACCCAGAATGCATTGTGGAAAGGTGCTGGACGGGACAGGAGACCGAGAGAGGTCTCTGTGTGATTTCCCTGTGCTTGCCAGAGTGCTTTTGCAGAGCAGAAACCTTCCCAGAGGTGCTGCTCCCGCTTCTGCACCTTGCGTGTGTAACCCTGATCAGTAGTGCAGTGGTTTTTATGCCTGGCTACAAAGCCAGGATGACTTACTACCCAAGTTATTCAAACATATGTCATAATTTATATGTATAGATCAATCTGAGCCTCTGGCAAAAGTCTGCACCTCGGTGGGTGCTAAAGACAATACTAATGCAGCAAAATGCAGTCATTTCCCTGGCTAAAACATGACGTAGTTTTAAGGAACGACATCTGCGGTACAAATACCGAAACGTTTCCCTTGACAGCGGCTCAGGTTGACTTGCCTCTTACCCGAATATCTGAACGCAGCGTTCTTTTTTCCAGGTTTGTCATCCTTGCTTCAGAGTGTTGCTGGAAATACTGTTCAGTCAAGCGAAACCGCGTCACAGAGCACTTCAGCATCGCCAGCTAACACGACTGTTCCTTGCGTGAAGGGGAGGAATATTCCTTCCAATACTCAGTCCTTTATATCCAAAAGTTTTGGTTATTCTCCAAACTCCTCTACTGCTGAGGTTTCCTCAACTTCAGTTAATAAGGCTCCTGTTGGACATACCCCAGGGCTGTCAAGCTCCAGTTTTAAGCCGCCAACCAATTCCTTGGGATTTTCCAGTTCCCACCCTACCAGTCCTTCCTCCCTTTTGCCAACAGAAACCTCACTGGGTCAGTCCTCTGAAATTTCAAAAGCGAAGCTGGAATCGGAGCCCCCTTCTCCGAGCCTGGAGATGAAGATACACAATTTCTTGAAGGGAAATCCTGGCTTCAGTGGCTTGAACTTGAATATTCCAATTCTCAGCAGCTTAGGGTCCAGCATCGCAACGGAAAGTCACGCGTCTGACTTCCAGCGTGGTCCTACCAGCACTTCCATGGACAATGTGGACGGAACACCGGTGCGCGATGAGCGAAGCGGGACGCCCACCCAGGACGAGATGATGGATAAGCCGACGTCGAGCAACGTCGACACTATCTCCCTGCTGTCAAAAATCATGAGCCCCGGTTCTTCTACTCCCAGCAGCACGAGGTCGCCTCTTCAGAGCCGGGATGACGGATATTCCCAAGAGCTTTCCAATTCTGTGCACACCTACCGGCCCTTCGGCCTCGGCAGAGAGTCTCCGGCCGGCCTGTACAAGCAGTCTGCAGACAACATGGAGATACCCTCCTCTTTAATGGACTCCTCCCAGGAGAAGTTTTACCCAGACACGTCTTTTCAAGAAGACGAGGATTACCGCGACTTCGACTACTCGGGGCCGCCGCCGTCGGCGATGCTAAACCTGGAGAAGAAGCCCGCCAAGTCTATCTTGAAATCGAGTAAACTCTCAGAAGCTGCAGAGTACCAGCCGGTCCTGTCCAGCTACAGTCAAAGATCGCAAGAGTTCGCCGTGAAGTCGTCCTTTCCTCAGTCGATGAGGTCTATTCTTGATCAGAGCGAGAGCTGCGAACCGCTGACGTCGTCTCCGGGGATGTACGGGAGCTACGGCCTCAGGGGAAACGACTCCACCTCGGACGGTTCCCCTTCGCCCAGCAAGAACGACGTGTTTTTCACACCGGACTCCAACCACAACAACTTACCGAAATCGGTGGTGCACTCTGGCCTCTCGCAGAAGCAATACCCGGACTCGCCCCACTCGATTCCCCACCGCTCGCTTTTCTCTTCTCAAAACGCCCTCTCCAGCCCCGCGGGCAGAGCGCCCGCGGCGAGCGTGGAGAAATCCTTGGGTTCTTCCATTTCTGCCACGTCGACCATCGAGTTCAAGAACATGCTCAAAAACGCCTCCCGTAAGCCCTCCGAGGAGAAGCATTTTGGCCAGATTTCCAAAAGCAGCTCCGGCGAGGGGGTGAGCTTGTCCGGAGCTCCCAAGGGAGAGCCGCAGCCGCAGGAGGAGCACTACCGCATAGAGACCAGGGTCTCCTCGTCCTGCTTGGACTTGCCCGACAGCACCGAGGAGAAAGGGGCCCCCATCGAAACGCTGGGTTACCACAACGCCTCGAGCAGGGGGATGTCGGGAGAGCCCATCCAGACGGTGGAATCCATCCGGGTTCTGGGGAAGGGGAATCGAGGACACGGGCGAGAGGCGAGCCGAGCGGCGGGGTGGTTCGAGATGAGCGGCGGCGGGAGCGCCTTCGATAACGGGCCCTCGGGCACGTCGGAGCTGCCCGGCATGGGCGGCTTCGCGGCGCCCTACAAGGAGCACGTGCCGCCCTTCCAGGAGAGCGTCAACAACTTCCGAACAAATAACTTCAGCCCCGCTTTCGAGCACCACATGCCGCCGCCCCTCGCCCCGCCTCCCATCGAGCACGGGACTCCCTTCCAACGGGATCCGGTGGGTCCCCCCGCCGGGCCCCCGCCCGCCCCCCCCAAGGACCACGGCAGCCTGTTCCCGAGGGATCACTCGGTCCCTCCCCGCATGCCGTCGGTGGATCACGCCAACCCCTTCTCGAAGGAAACCTCCGCTCCGCTCTCCCTGCCCCACGGCGTGCCCCCGCCTCCCTCCGTCGAGCACGCCGGGGTCCCCTTCCCCACGCCCCCGCCGCCCCCCGTCCCCGGGGAGCACGCCAACGTCCCCTTCCCCGCCCAGCCGCCGCCGGCCGGGGAGCACGGCGGCGTCCCCTTCCCCGCGCCGCCCCCCATGGCGGTGGAGCACGGCGCCGGCGCCTTCCCCAAGGAGCACGGTACCATCCACCAAGGGACGATGAAAGAGCATTTCGCCGTGCACGCCGGACCCCGCGAACCGTTGGCCCAAGCCCAACAGCGGGACCACGCCGCAGCCCCCCTGTCCCGCTCCCGCGAGGCCGTGGGGCTGACCCCCCTCTCCAGGGAGCAGCTGGGGGCCCCCCGCGGCCTGGGCCCCCCTGCTCACAGGGACGGTGGCAGCCGCGGCGGGGTGCTGGTCAGGACCCCCCGCGCTGACTTCAGACCGCGAGAGCCCTTCGTAAGCAGAGACCCCTTCCATAGCCTGAAAAGGCCCCGGCCGCCCTTCGGGAGGGGGTCCCCCTTCTTCGCCCCGAAACGCCCCTTCTTCCCCCCCAGGTACTGAAGCAGACGCCCAGCTCCCAAGCGAAGGCATCCGGACGCTGTAGAGAGCAGCGGAGTAGCGCTTTCACTTGGTTTTTCCATATTTTATTTTTTTTTCTTTCCCTCAAGAGCCCCATAACCTTCTCCTAAATTAAATGTTCTGGGTTATTTTTTTTTTGGTTTATTTTTTTGTTTGTTTGTTTGTTTATTATTTTGGGGTTTTTTTCTTTTTTTGTTTTTTTTTTTTTTTTTCAGTTGTTTCTTTCCCAAGCCCACCCAGTTGGTGCAAGACTAGGAAAAAAAAAAAAAAAAAATTAATGAAAAGAAGAATTGCTGTTGAAATAAAAACTTCCAGTAGTAGTTTAAAAAAAAAAAAAAAAAAAGAAAAAAAAAAAAGAACACAAACAAACAAACTAAAAAACTGAAAGGAAAGATGAAGCGTGCTGTTGGGATGATGTTTTTTAGCCGATTACCAAATCGCTGCCACAGGGAGGAGTGAAGGGGCCAAGCGCTGGCGGTGGCAGAGACCCCCCCACCCCTCCTGTGCCTTCCTCCGCAGCGACGGTCACCGCTCCCCCTCCGGCTGGCAAAATAAAAAACACAAAAAAAAAAGGCAAAAATGACAAAAAGAAAACAACCCATCACCCTATGATGATTTCCACGGACTGTTTGGCTCCCGGCACCCCGGGAGTGAGGAGGGGTCCCGCAGCCTGTCCTCCCCCTCCAGCTCACCCTCCTCGGGAAAAAAAAATCTGTTGTCTGTTGGTTGGTTTTTTTTTGTTTGTTTGTTTTGTTTCTTTTTTTTCTTTTTTTTCTTTTTTTTTTTTTTTCCCCTGGGAACACTGTTGACTTTCTACGTGTGTGTATATAATAATCACTTTTTAATTCCATCTCTCAGATCATTCAAAACGCGCAGACGGAGCCCGCGGGGGGCTCGGGGCGCTGCCCCCAGCCCAGGGCCGCCCCGCAGCCGCGCCGGCGGCTTTTATATGAAGTTGGAATTTTACTTGATTTATTTTATTTTTGTTTTGTTTTGTTTTTCTCCTCTCTTTTTTTTAGTTGCTAGAATCCATCATATATGTTTGATAAAGGTGTAGGGTTAAGTATCTACATAAAAATTACAAAAACGAGTTGGTGGCGGATCGTTTCTTTGGCGCGGGCGCCTCAGCCCCGAGGGGACCCCCCCCCCCCCCCCCCCCAGCCGTGACCCCCGGGCTGCGGCTTCTCCTTCCCCTCAGCGGCCCCGGGGAGCCGGGCGGGGGTCGGGGCTGCCCAAACCCCCCGTTTCCCCCGAACACCAATGGGCTGTGGGGGGGTCCCGTTATTCGCTTCCCGCCCCCCCCCCGCGCCCGTGAGTGGTTTCGTTCCGCCCCCGCGGGGCTTCCCCACGGGCGGGCGAGTCCAACGGCCTCCGGGGGGGGTGGGGTGGGGGGTGGGAACCAGACTCGGGCCGCACGCGCTGCTCCCGCCACGCGGGAGGGCACCGCCCCTGGGAGGGAGTAGCCTCGTCTGACCTCGCCTCTGGGCGGAGCATTCCACACAGGCCACGCCCCCTCGATGGGTGCTATCCGCTGTTGGCTCCGCCTATGGGCGGGACACTCCACACCGGCTCCGCCCCTCTATAGGATTTAACAGTGGTTGGCTCCGCCCCCTTGATATGGCTCATCGGTGTTTAGCTCCGTCAATGGGCGGGGTTTTCCCATAGGCTCCGCCCCCTTGCGAGAGTTCAATCTCTGGTTGGGTCCGCCTCTGGGCGGGGTCTTCCCATCCCGCCCACCGTGCGGCGGCGGAAGGGGCGTGGCCTGCGACGGAAGGGGCGTGGCCAGCCGCCATGCCGTGCGCCCGTACAGGGGCTCGGCTGTTCTTCGCGGGAGTCCCGCGCCGGCACCGGGTGCGCTCGGGACCCCCCCCCCCCCCCAAACCCCCCCGGGACACCCCCCCCCCCCCGCTCCCCGCGTACCCACCGCGTCCTGACCCCCCGCTAAACACCCCCCACACCCCCCCCCCCCAGGTCTCCGGGCCCGACCCCCAACTCTCCGAGCGCCTCCGCCTCTTCCAGCAGCTCCGGGCGGCGCAGGAGCAGCGCGATGGAGCCGGGACCGGGACCGGGGCCGCGGGGGGCCGCTCCCCGCCCCCCCCGGGGACCCCCATCAGCATCACCCTGCCCGGGGGGCGCCGCCTCCCCGGCCGAGCCCTGCAGACCACCCCCTTCCAGGTGGCCACGCAGCTGGGGTACGCGTGGGCCCGGGCCTCCCCCCACCACGGGGTCCCCAGGGCCCCCACGGTAACACTCGGGGTTCCCACGAGGTTCCACGGGGTCTCTGCTCTGTGCCCACGGTCCCTGGGATGTCCCCACGGTGCCCCCATAGCGTTCCCGCGGGGTCCCCACGATATCCTCACGGGGTCCTCGGGGTCCCCCACGAGGTTCCACAGGGTCCCCAGGGCCCCCACGGGGTCCCACACCGTCCTTGGGATGACCCCCCGTGGTGCCACCACGGTCCCTACAGGGTCCCCGCAAGATCCCCAGGGCCCCCACGGGGTTCCACAGGGACCTCACAGTATCCCGACGGTCCCCACAAGGTCCCTAGGGCCCCCACAGGATTCCACGGGGCCCCCACAGTCCCTCGGCTGTCCCCAGGGTCCCCACGGTGCCCTCACAGTGTCCCCGCGGTGTTCCCACGAGGTCCCCAAGACCTCCGCGTGGTCCCCAGTGTCCTCACGTTCCCCGTGGTGTCCCTACGTGGTCCCCACCATGCCCCCCAGCATCCCTCCAGTGTCCCTGTGGTCTCCCACGGGTGTCCCCACAGGGGGGAGGTGGCACTGGTGGCCCGGGTGAACGGGACCCTCCAGGACCTCGACCGGCCCCTCGAGAGCGACGCCGACCTGGAGCTCCTCGACTTCTCGGTCCCGGAGGGACGCGAGGTGAGTCCCGGTGGGGGGACACGGGGTGGGGGGGCCAGACCCACGTCCCACTCCCCTCGCAGCCCGTGTGTCCCCCCGTGTCCCCCCCACTTTGTGTGGGGGTGTGTGTCCCCCCCAGGCTTTTTGGCGGTCCGGCGCCTGCGTCCTGGGGGCGGTGGCCGAGCAGTTTTACGGGGCCACGCTCTGCAGCGCCCAGGCCACGGAGGACGGCTTCTTCTGTGACATCCACATGGGTGACAGGTAAGGAGGGGGGACACGGAGAGGGGGACACACACACGGCGGGGGTGTCCCCCGTGTCCCCAGCCTGTCCCACCCCCACCCCCAGGACGGTGCAGCGGGCCGAGCTGCCGGCGCTGGAGGAAGCTTGTGCGGCTTTCGCCCGCGCCGGGCACCGCTTCGAGCGCCTCGAGGCCACCCGCCAGCAGCTGGCCGAGCTCTTCAAGGTGACACCCCCCTCCCCGGCGTGTCCCCTCCCCGGCCCAGGATGGGGTAAAAGAGCCCAGTTGGGGGACATCAGGACCCTCCTGGTTGGGGTGATGGGCCTGGGTGATGCTAACGGGGACCAGTGTCACCCTCCCAATCAGTGTGCCCTGCCCCAGCCCCCCCCCAGTGTCACCTGTGTCCCTGCCACCCACCGCGGTTGTCACCCCCCCCCCCCCCCTCCGCCTCGGGGTCACCTGTGTCACTGTTACCCACTTCAGTCCTCCCCCTCCCATGTCCCCCCAGCACGGTGTCACCCACCTCAGCCCTTCCCCACCACCTTAGTGTCACCCCCCCTTGGTGCCACCCACCTCGGTTGTCACACCCCCCCCCCCCTCGGTGTCACCCACCTCAACCCTTCCCTGCCACCTCAGTGTCACCCCCCCACCTTGATGTCCCAACCTCAATGTTCCCTATGCTATTGTCACCCCCCTTGCTGTCCGTGTGTGTCCCCCCCCCAGCACAACCCCTTCCAGCTGCAGCAGATCGAGGAGGAGGTGACGTCCCCTACGGCCACCGTCTATAGGTGAGAGTGGAGGGGGGGGGGCACCCCGGGGGGGGGGGGGGGGGGCTGAGGGGGGACACTCCCCATGTCCATCTGTCCCCACGCCTGTCTTTCTGTCCCTGCAGGTGCGGCCCCCTGCTCCAGCTCTGCCCCGGCCCCCTCCTGCAGCACACGGGGCTGATCGCGGCCCTCCGCGTCCTGACGGTAGGTGGGACGGACAGACAGACACCCAGACACCCCCAGGCATCGGAGCCCCACTGATTTCTTCCCAAATTCCTCCCCCTTCCCCCCCCGCCAGAGCTCGGCGGCGTTTTGGCGGGGGGCCGGGGGCCGCCGGGCGCTGCAGCGCGTCGCCGCCGTCGCCTTCCCCAGCGCCCGCGACCTGGGCGCCTGGCAGCGAGCGCAGGATGAGGCCGCCCTGCGGGATCATCGCCGCATCGGGCGGGTGAGCCCCGCGGTTTTCGGGGGGCAGGGATCACCGGTGACACCCCCCCCCCCCCACAGTAACACCCGTGGCCCCTCCCCAACTCCAGGAGCAGGAGCTTTTCTTCTTCCACAAGCTCAGCCCCGGCAGCTGCTTCTTCCTCCCCCGCGGCGCCCACATCTACAACGCCCTCGTGGAGTTTATCAGGGTACGGCCCCCGCCATGGCCCCCCCGACTGCACCGGCGTGGGGGGAGAAATTGGGGTCTGCCTTTCCCCCCCCCCCCCAATACACCCTGCTGCCCCCCAGCTACCCCAAAGCACCCAGACCCCGTTACACCCACACCTCAACCCTCCCTGTGCCCCCCCAGAGCACCCAGACCCCATAACACCCCCACCCCAAAGCACCCAGACCCCGTTACACCTGCACCCCAGCCCTCCCTGTGCCCCCCCAGAGCACCCAGACCCCATAACACCCACACCCCGAAGCACCCAGACCCCGTTACACCTGCACCCCAACCCTCCCTGTGCCCCCCTGAGCCCCCAGACACCATTACACCTGCACGCCAACCCTCTCTGTGCCCCCCCCAAGCACCCAGACCCCATTACACCCGCACCCCCACCCTCCCTGTGCCCCCCTGAGCACCCAGACCCCATTACACCCGCACCCCAATCCTCCCTGTGCCCTCCCCGAGCACCCAGACCCCGTTACACCCGCACCCCAACCCTCCCCGTGCCCCCCCAAAGCACCCAGACCCCGTTACACCCCCATCCCCAGCTGCACCCTGACCCTCCCTGTGCCCCTCCTTGCACCCCGACCCTGCTGTGCCCCCGCTCCTGCTCTGCACCCCAGCTCCGCTCTACCCTCACCCCTCTGCACCCCAACCCCGTAGCACCCCATAACCTGACACGCGCACCCTCTTCCCCCCCCCAGCTCCATTGTGCCCCCCCCCCCCCCCAAACTGCACCCAGACCGGGCTGCACCCCAAATCCCTGCCCCATCCCTGCATCACCCCATCCCTCCTGCGCCCCAAACCTGGACCCTCCCTGGGCCAGGCACCGCTGGGGTTGGGCTGATGTCCCCGTCCCTGTCCCCGCTGTCCCCCTCAGAGCGAGTACCGGGCGAGGGGCTTCTGCGAGGTGGTGACCCCCAACATGTTCAGCCCCCAGCTCTGGGAGCTCTCGGGGCACTGGCAGCACTACAGCACCCACATGTTCTCCGTCACCGCCGGCACCGAGACCCTCTCCCTCAAACCCATGAACTGCCCGGCCCACTGGTGAGCGTGGGGGAAAAGGCAGGGGGGGGTGGGATGTGACCTGGAAGCCGGGGGGGGACACACAGACACCCGTCTGTCCGGCCGCAGCCTGATGTTCGCCCACCGGCCGCGGTCGTGGCGGGAGCTGCCCTTGCGCCTGGCTGATTTTGGGGTGCTGCATCGCAACGAACCCCCCGGCAGTTTGACGGGGCTGACGCGGGTGCGGCGGTTCCAGCAGGACGACGCTCACATCTTCTGCACGCTGGAGCAGGTCGGTGGGGGGGGGTCCCCCCACCTCCCCACTGTCCCCCCCCCCCCCAATTGTGTGTGTGTCCCCCACGCTGTGTCACACCCCCCCCTCCCCGGCCGTTGACCCTTTGTCCCCAGCTGGAAGGCGAGATCGACGCCTGCTTGGATTTCATCCGGACCGTCTACACGGTGCTGGGCTTCTCCTTCCGCCTGGCGCTGGCCACCCGCCCCCCCGGATTCCTGGGGGACCCCGAGACCTGGGACCGCGCCGAGCAGGTGGGACGGGGACGGGGATGGGGACGGGGGGTCCAGGGCTCTGTCCCCAGGGATGGGGATGGGGACAGGGGGTTCAGAACTGGGTCCCCAGGGTGAAGGGACAGGGATGGGGACAGGGACAGGAGGTCCAGGGCTGTGTTCCCACGGATGGGGACAGGGATGGGGACAGGGGGTCCAGGGATGTGTCCCCAGGGATGGGGACAGGGGGTCCAAGACCGTGTCCCCAGGGATGGGGACAGGGGGTCCAGGGCTGTGTCCCCAGGGACGGGGACAGGGGGTCCAGGGCTGTGTCCCCAGGGATGGGGACAGGGGGTCCAGTCCAGGACTGTGTCCCCAGGGTGAGGGGATGGGGACAGGGGGGTTCAGAACTGTGGCCCCAGGGTGAGGGGACAAGAATGGAGATGGGGACAGGAGGTCCAGGGCCGTGTCCCCAGGGATGGGGACGGGTATGGGGACAGGAGGTCCAGGGCCGTGTCCCCAGGGATGGGGACAGGGATGGGACGCGCCGCAGGGAACAGGGCGGCAAAGCCGGGATGCGATGCCGGGGGCGGCACCCACGGGGTGTCCTCTCCGGTGTCCCCCCCATCGCGTCCCCTGCCCCGTGTCCTTGTGTCACGGCTCCCTCCATCGTGTCCCCTGCGTTGTCCCCTGTGTCACCCCCCCCCCCCCCATCTGTCCCCGCAGCAGTTGGAGCGGAGCCTCCGCACCTTCGGGCAGCCCTGGGAGCTGAGTGCGGGCGACGGCGCCTTTTATGGCCCCAAGGTGAGAGATTTTGGGGGTGGGGGTCCCCAAAGGGTCCAGGTTTGCCCCCCGGGACCTTTGGGGACCACCCCCCCCGCAATTATTCCCGGTAGATCGATATCCGGATCCGGGATGCGCTGGGGAGGCACCATCAGTGCGGCACCATCCAGCTGGATTTTCAGATGCCGGAAAGATTTGGGCTGGAGTACGCCAGGTGGGGGGGGTAGGGGGGGGCAGGATCGGGCCCACGGGGTTGGGGTTTTGGGGATGGGCAGGATTGGGTCCCGAGGATTGGGGTTTGGGGGGGGCAGGATTGGGCCCAAAGGGTTGGGGTTTGGGGGGGGGCAGGATTGGGCCCACAGGGTTGGGGGATCGGGGGAGAAGGATTGGGCCCAAAGGGTTGGGGTTTGGGGGGGGTGGGCAGGATTGGGCCCACAGGGAAGGTAAGGATTGGAGGGTGGGGGCAGGATTAGTGCTGGTGGGGCCGGGCTGAGGGGGGGGGGGGCAGAGTTGAGCTAAGGGGGGGGGTGGGGGTCCCCCTGCACCCCCCCGCCCCCCTCCCTGACCCCTGGTACCCCCCCCCTGCCCCCCCACAGCCCGGCGGGGGGGGCGGCGCGGCCGGTGCTGATCCACCGGGCGGTGCTGGGCTCCGTGGAGCGCATGGTGGCCGTGCTGGCCGAGAGCTGCGGCGGCCGATGGTAAGGGGGGGGGGACTCACACCCGGACACCCACACACCCCCTCCCTTTGGGGACACCCCCTCCTACCACCCCCCCCCCCCAAAAAGAATTCTCCCACTTTGGGGCTGTAAAAAAGGGCCTCCCCCCAACCCCCAGCCTATGGGCACCCCCCTCATCCCCAGCGTCACCCACCCCTGTCCCTGGGTGCTCCCACCTTGGGGAGGGGGCCCCCCCCGCCCACCCCCCCAGGGCCCCCCCCCCCCCGAATCCCTGGAGCACCCTCATTCTTGGGGCACCCCCCGCTTTGGGGACACCCCCTTTTTTGGAGGACCTCCATCGTTGGGACACCCCCAGGGACACTCCCTGATCCCTGGGATGCCCCATCCCCGGGTCACCCCCTTGTGACACCCCCCATGACTCCCCCCCCCCCCCCCCCATGTCACCCCCCCATGACCCCCCCCATGTCCCCCCCAGGCCGCTCTGGCTGTCCCCGCTGCAGGCGATGGTCATCCCGCAGACGCCCGAAGTCGAGGACTACGCCCGGGAGGTGTGTGTGCCCCCCCCGCGTGTGACCCCCCCCTCCCCACCATGTGGTCCCCAAATCCCCCCCTCCTGTCATCCCCCCGAGTCCCCCCCTCATGTCCCCCCCCCCCAGTCCCCCCACATCCTCCCATGTCCCCCCCGTCCCTGCGGCCCCCCCCATCCTTCCTTGTCTTTCTTTGTCCCTTCTGTCCCACCCCAGCCCTCCCTGTCCCCCATGTCCCCCCCCCCCCAGCCCTCCGTCTCCCCCCATGTGTCGTCCCCCCCCCCCAGCCCTCTGTACCCCCCCTGGCCCCCCCCCGGCCCCCCCGCTGATGCTGTGGGGCAGGTTCAGGCGGTGCTGCGTGGGGGGGGCATCGTGGCCGACCTGGACGGGGACGCGGGGGCCACCCTGGCCAGGAAGATCCGCCGGGCCCAGCTCGCCCACTACAACTTCCAGCTGGGTAAGGGGGGGGGACGGGAGCAGGGCGGGGGACACACGGACACGACACCCCAGCCCATAGACCCCCGGGACCCCCCCCACACACATACACCCCCCCCCTCTGCCCTGGGACCAGCTGTGCTGAGTCAGCAGCACCCAACAACACCCCCCACCCCCCCCCAGAACCTGTGAGCGGCTGGGGGGGGGGAAGGAGCGCTGGGACCCCCCCTTGGGAACACCCTGGGGCCACCCTGAGACCCTCTTGGGACCCTCCTGAGACCCCCCAGCACCCCTCCAGACACCCCTTGCCTTGGGACCCCCCCTGGACCGTCCTCTGAGACACCCCCCCCCCTTGGGAACCCCCCCGGGACCCTCCTAAGACCCCCCCAAGTTCCCCCTGGGACCCCACTCTGAGAGCCCTGCCCCTTGGGACCCCCCCTGGGACCCCCCCTGGACCGTCCTCTGAGACCCCCCCCCCCCTTGGGAACCCCCCTGGGACCCTCCTAAGACCCCCCCAAGTTCCCTCTGGAACCCTCCTCTGAGACACCCCCCCCCTTGGGAACCCCCTGGGACCCTCCTAAGACCCCCCCCGCCTCTTGGGAACCCCCCCCGGGACCCTCCTCTGAGACCACCCCACCCCCCCTTGGGAACCCCCTGGGACCCCCCCCAACATCCCCCCAGGACCTTCTGAGACACCCCCCCCCACCTTGGGGACACCCCCAGGGACCCCCCACCCCCTGAGACCCCTATGAGACGACCCCCCCCCCCCCCGGGCGCTCGGGAAGGGGGGGGGGGCCGGGACACAGCCGCCGCTGCGGTTACCCACATGGGTGCACGTGTGGGTGCACGTGTGGGTGCACCCGCGGGCGGACGTGCTTGGCGCGAGCGTGTGGGGGGGGGTGTGCCGGGTGGGTGGGTGCCCCCCCCCCCTCCTCCACCCACCCGTGTCCGTGTCCGTGTGTGTCCCCCCCCCCCGCAGTGGTGGGCCGGCAGGAGCGGGCGCGCGGCACCGTCAGCGTCCGCACGCGGGACAACCGGCTGCTGGGGGAGCGCGACCTGCGGCGGGTGCTGCAGCGGCTGCGGGAGCTGCGGGACGCCCGCGTCCCCGACGCCGAGCAGCGCTTCTGACCCCCCCCCCCCCCAAAAAAAAAAAATTACCTCCCTGTGTGTCTGTTCCCCCCCCCAACTCCAACCCCAATTAAAACGCTGGGAAACAGCAGCGGGTTGAGCTGAGACCGGGGCAGCTCGGTGCATCATTGATGCTGGCAGCACCCCTGGGGGGGGCGGGGGGGGGGGGGCAGGTGTGTTTGTGTTCCCCCCCCCCCCATCTTCCTCTGGGTCCTTTCTGCTTGGGATTTTCCCACCCGGACACCCACGTCCCCCCCCCCTTGGGGGGGGATTGTTGCGCAAAGTCGAGTCACGTCGTCGCCGGTGTTGGGCAATCAAGGGGGGGGGGGGGCTGGTGTGTGTGTGTCCATCCCCCCCCCCGCCGTCCGTTGTCCCCCCCCCACCTCGGCACCTGCCCAAAAGTTTGGGTTGGGCAGGGTATGACTGTGCCATGGTGGGGGGGGGGGGCACACACGTATTTCCCCCACCTCCACATCTTGGGGTGAAGGGAGGTGACCGAGGCCGTGCCACCGCTGCCCCACTCGCGACGTCGCCCACTCGGGGAGGGGGGACACACACGACACACCAGCTAAACCCCCCCCACCCCGGAGGGGTTCTCCATGGGTGGTCCGTGCCCCCCCCCCATCGTTACTCTGGCCCCTGTCAGCACTTGTTTGGGGGGGGGGGTGGGTGACTCACTGGGTGGGTCAAGCCCCAAAACTGGGCAAAAACCACAAAAATCCGGCTGCTTTCGCTTATCCTGACGTGGGGGGGGGGAGGAACATTAGGGCCACCAGGGAGGGGGGGCCACCACCAGGGTGGGGACAAGGCCACCTTCCGTGTCCCTGAGCCCCCCCCGCCGCCCCCCCGGGGCTGGTTGGGCCGGTTGGGGTTGGGACTGTGGCCCTGTTTGGGGGTGCAGGATGTGGCCCAGCCCCCCCCGGGGGGTGTGTGTGTGTGTGTGTGTGTGTGTATCCCCCCACTGTATGTGTGTGTGTCCCCCCCCCCGATGTGTGTGTGTGTGGCCCCCCCGGCCCCTACCGCGACGTCAGGCTGGTGACTCAGCCCCGCCGCAGGATTCGGCCCCGCGCCCTCCCCGGCTCCTTCATAAGGCGGCGGAGCCGGCGGCGGCCCCACAGCACCCGACGCCATGGCTGCCTTCAGCCTCCTCCTCCTCCTCCTCCTCGGTGCCGCCGGTGAGTCCTGCGGCTCCCACCGACGCTTGGGTGTCGTGTCCCCCCCCCCCCCCCGCATGGTGGGGTGTCCCCCCTCCCCACCCCGGGCCACCTCGGTCCCCCCGCGGCCACCTGGTTCCCCTCCTCGGCCACCTGGGTCCCCAATTTGACACCTGGGGCCCGTCCCATCCATCCCGTGTCCCGTCCCGTCCCCCCCCCGCCATTATGGGGCCCCAGGTAAGGGGGACTGTTGGGGGGGTTCCCCCGCTGACCCCCTGTGTCCCCCGCCGGTGACAGTGGTGGCCCTGGAGGGACCCCAGCACGTGGCACAGGAGAGCCTGGTCCTGCAGCACCCCGACATCGAGCAGCATGAGGGTAGGGATGAGGGGGACGCTGGGGGGGGAGCGGGGTTTGGGGACATGGGGACACATCCACACCCTGGGATGGGGGGGGGGGGGACACCCAGGGGTGGGGGGACATGGGAACAGGCAGGATCAGGGGACACCCAGGGTTAGGGACGTGGATGTGGGAGGACAGGGGGTGTTGGGGATGGGGGGCATGAGGACAGGGATGGGGGAGACACCCAGAAATGGGGGGGACATGGGGACAGTCAAGGTTGGGGACGGGGTGACGTGGGGACGTGGTGATGGGGGGGGCGGGGGGAGATGTCAAGGGAGACACCTTGGGATGGGGGGACATGATTTGGGGGGGACACAAGGTGGGGGTGACATGGGGGATAGCGAAGGTTGGGGTGGGGACACTACACCGGGGGGGGTCGGGGCACAGGGAACAAACAGTTATGGGGGGGGGGGGGGGTCGCATAGGGACGAGTGTCACCTGGGGCCGTGGCAGTTGGGGACACGCATTGCCCCCCCCCCCTTTTCAGTGCGTCAGGAGGAGCAGGACCCCCCGCTGCCCCCCGACGTCCTGGCAGCGCTGGCGGGTGTCCCGGCCTCCCCCAGCCACCCCCCGCCCCGCTCCAACACCCTGGACGGCTTCCCCCCGCCCTGGCCCGTGGCCGCCGCTGTCACCCGTCACTGCCGCCACCCGCCGCCGCCCCCCCCGACCCCCCAGCTGCCCCCCAGCTCCTTCGCCCACCTCCGGCGACAAGCGGCCGCCCTCGACGCCCTCCGGTCCCGCCTCGGCGCCTGCTGCCACCGCGCCCCCCCGCTGCCCTGCGCCCGCCGAGCCGTGAGTGCCGGGGGGGGGGGGGACGGACACACACCCGGGGACAGCGGGGGGGGGTCGGGGGGAGCGGGTGGGTCTCACCTCTCCGCTCCCCCGCAGTGGACGGAGGTGCTGGACGGCTTTTGCGCCGATGAATTTGGGGTGAAAACGCGGCAGTTCCACTGCTGCCGGCAGCGCGGCGAGGCGCGGCACCGCTGCTTCAAGGAGGCGGCCGCCGCCGCGCCCCCCGCCCCCCCCCCCGCCGCCGTTGCCCCCCCCCCCCGCCGCCGAACCGCCCTTCCCGCCCGGCGAACCCACCGCCGCCAACATGGACAATATTTGCGGGTTACGGGGGCTGCGGCCCGGCCCCCCCGGCCCCTCCGGCCCCTCCGGCCCCCGCGTCCGCCTCCGCCTGCGCCTGGAGCGCGACTACGGCCGGTGCTGCCGCAACAGGAGCCTGGCCTGCGCCCACGAGGCCGTGAGTGCCGCGGGGGGGGGGACACGGGGGGGGGGGGACACGGGGGGGGGGGGACACGGGGGGACACACACACACACCCCCCCGGGTGTTTGGGAGGGGACCCGGGTATCCAGGAAGGGACTCGGGCGTTTGGAGATCAGGGAGGGGACCCGAGCATCCGGGGTGGGGACCCAGGCATGTGGGGAGGGGACCCGGGTATCCGGGGAGGGGACCTCGGTGTCCCCGGGATGACCCCCCGGTGCCCGGAGAGTGACCCAGGGGTCCGGGAGCTGGGGAGGGACCTGGGTGACAAGGGGGGGGACACCCAAGTGACAAGGAGGGATCCAGGGGGGGGGACCCAGGTTGCCTGGGAAGGGACCCAGGTGACAAGGGGGGACCCAGGGGTTTGGGGAGGGACCCAGGTGACAAGGGGGGACTCAGGGGTTTGGGGAGGGACCCAGGTGACAAGGGGGGGGGACCCGAGTGACAAGGAGGGATCCAGGGGGGGGACCCAGGTTGCCTGGGAAGGGACCCTGGTGACAAGGGGGGACCCAGGGGTTTGGGGAGGGACCCGAGTGACAAGAAGGGACCCAGTGGGCTGGGGAGGGGCCCGGGTGACAAGAAGGGACCCAGTGGGCTGGGAAGGGACCCTGGTGACAAGGGGGGACTCAGGGGTTTGGGGAGGGACCTGAATGACGGGCAGCGGCCCAGAAGTTTGGGGGCTGGGGGGGGTGACACCCAGGTTGTTTGGGAAGGGACCCAGGTGACAAGTGGGGACCCATTGGGGTCCAGGGAGGGACCTGAATGACGGGGGGGGGGGGGGGGGGACGGACCCAGGTGACCTGGAGAGGGAGCCGGGTGACAAGGTTGGGGGACTCCAACCGCTCCCCCCCCGGCAGTGGCAGAAGGGGCTGCAGCGGTTCTGCCGGGAGGAGGCGGCGGTGAAGACGAGGCAGCACCGGTGCTGCCAGCACGGGGGGGGCCGCGCCCGCAGCCGCTGCTTCGCCGCCGCCGCCCCCCACCCTGCCTACGACCGGGAGCTGCACAACGTCAGCCTGGCCCGGCCGAGCCCCGCGCTGCTCCGCACCCTCTGCGGGCCCACCCGCCTGCTCACCAAGAGGTGGGTGCCCTCCCCCCCCCCCCCCCCCAAAAAAAAGGGACCCCAGCACCCCCACCCCATCTCAAAGGGGACCCAGGCATCCGGGACCAACCGTCAGGGTGGAGACTCAGATATACGGCCCCTCTCCCCCCCCTCAAATCTCAGAGGGGGCCCATGCATGCCACCCCCTCCCCGTGTCCCCCCCCTCACCCACGGGTGACCCACCCCTCCGTGTCCGTGTCACCCAGGCGGCCGGTGCCGGAGCTGCTGGGGGCCGTGACGGCCGCGTGCTGCCCACTGCCCCCCGAGGAACAAAGCGCCTGCACCCAGGACCAAGTGAGTGAACTTTTTTGGAGGGAGGGGGGGGTCCAAAGGCTTTTCCCCCCCAAGCCACCCTGACCCCCCCCCCCCCCCCCCAATTTCTCACAGCTGTCCCAGGGCATCGCCACCCTCTGTGATACCCAGCGGGACACCTGGCGCGACCCCCAAGGCTGCTGCTCGCGGGGGGGCCCCGAGCGGCGTCGCTGCTTCGACACCAAGTACCTGGCCCAGGTGACCCTGGGGGCTGCCGTGGCCCCCCAGGACTAACAACCCCCGCCGGGGTGAGGAGGGGGGGGGGCAATAAAGGTGCTGGGGTGTCACCTCTGAGTGCCTCAGTGTCTCTGTTCTGTGTGTGTGTGCAGGGGGGTCCCCCGTGCCTCAGTTTCCCCATAGGGTGAGTTTATCCTCTCCCTGTGGCTCAGTTTCCTCATAGTGGGGGGGCTCCCCCTCCCTGCCTCAGTTTCCCCATAGTGTGTGTGTGCGGGGGGGGAGCCCTCCCTATGCCTCAGTTTCCCCACTGTGCGTGTGTGGGAGCCCTCCCTGTGCCTCAGTTTCCCCACAGCAAGTGGGGCCACACCCCCACCAGTCCCTGTTTTCCCAGGGGGTGTGTGGGGACACACATGCCTCAGTTTCCTCCACAGCTAGTGGGGTTCCCCCCCCCCCCAGTGCCTCAGTTTCCCCCATAGTGTGGGGACACCCCCTCCCCCGGGCGTGGCGGGGGCGGCGCGTTTCGGGGTGTGGGGTTGGGTGTTGGGGTGTTTGTGTGTCGGGGTGTGTCAGGGCCTGGGTGTGACACGCCAGGGTTGTCTAGTGGGGTGTACCCCGGGGTGGGTGGGTGGCCACACATCCTGGGGTGTCCCTGTGTCGTCCCCCCCCAGTGTCACTGTCTCCCGTGTCCCCCACACCGCCACGGTCCTGGAGCCTCCCCGTGTCCCTACAAACCCCAGGGTGCCCCCCCATGGCCCCCGAGATCGTGAGTGGGGAAACTGAGTCACAACAGGGGGGACACCAACCAGAGTGGGCTGCCCTGCTCTCATGGCTGCGCCCCCCCCTTTTGAACCTCCAGTTCTACCCCCCCCCTCCCTTTGCACCCCCTTTTTTTAACCCCCATTTTTGCAGCCTCCTGTTTCTTACTCCTCCTTTTGCACCCCTATTTTTATACCCCCCCCTTTATATGCCTGTTTTGCACCCTGATTAACCCTTATTTTCACACACACCCCCCCTTCACACTCTTTCTGCTCCCCCCCCCCAAGCAGCACCAGGATGCAGGGTCACCCCATTCTCCCCCCCACCCCGTGCCTCAGTTTCCCCTCCAACAGCTCAGGCTCCCTGAGGGATCCTGAGGAGTTCGGGCGGGGGGGTGGGGGTGGTGTTGTTGAGAGTCCCTGGCAAAGGATGCTGCTCCACGGGGGGGGGGAGGGGGGGGCGGGGCCTCCTCTTCTACACCATGTCTGCCCCCAGCTGCTCCAGCCATCTACTGCCAGCCGTCCGTCTGTCCAGCCAGCCCTCCACAGCATCACAGACTGGTTTGGGAGGGACATTTAAAGCCCCCACCCCCAGTGGCACCCCCTGCCCCGGGCAGGGCCCCCTTCCCCCAGCCCAGGGGGCTCCCAGCCCCGTCCAACCTGGCCTTGAACCCTTCCAGGGAGGGGGCAGCCACAGCTGCTCTGGGCACCCGGGGCCAACACCTCACCGCCCGCACAGGGAACAATTTCTGCCTTAGAGCTAATCTGAATCTCCCCTCTGTCAGTTTAAACCTGTCTCCCCTTGTCCCCCCTCCCTTTCCTGCCCCCCCTTTAAGCCCTGGGAGGCCGCTCGAAGGGCTCCCCGGAGCCTTCTCTTCTCCAGGCTGAACCCCCCCAACTCTCTCAGCCCGGCCCCCCAGGGGAGCTGCTCCAGCCCCCCCAGCATCTCCGTGGCCTCCTCTGGCCCCGCTCGAGCAGCTCCGTGTCCTTCTGCTGTTGGGGGCCCCCGAGCTGGCCCCAGCACTGCAGGGGGGTCTCCCCAGAGCGGAGCAGAGGGGGAGAATCCCCTCCCTGGTCCTGCTGCCCCCCCTGCTCTGGCTGCAGCCCAGGGCACGGGTGGGTTCTGGGCTGCCAGCGCACGGGGCTGGCTCACGGGCAGTTTTCCCCCCACCAACCCCCCCAGTCCCTCTCCTTGGGGCTGCTCTCCAGCCACTCCTCGCCCAGCCTGGGTTTGTGCTGGGGATTGCCCCGACCCACAGGCAGGCCCTTGCCCTTGGCCTTGCTGAACCCCATGAGGTTTGCTCGGTCCCCCCTCTCCAGCCTGCCCGGGTCCCTCGGGGTGACATCCCTGCCCTCAGCATGTCGATCAAAGTATCGGCATATCTAGAGCAGTACACGATTAGAGGCATTCAATTTTTTCACATTAAACCCCTGGTTTCTGTTTCATCAACATTTCCTCACAGGTTAAAGAGCACCAGCGAGAGCTGCAAGCGTGCACAAGCAGCTTCCTCGTGGAACACCTCAGATATTCCTCCCTGAGCTCCCTTCCTTGCAGGATATTCCCACCCTCTTGAGGCTTCCCAGCATGAAACAGGACTCAGCTGGGGCTCCGGAGCATCGGGAAGTAAATCCCAACGTGCAGAGAGCGTGACGTTACAGTGGCAACAGATCCTATGCTGCATGTGGGGATGGTTTTGCTCCTGGCCTGAATACAAGGAAGGATTTAGTTTGTCTCAAAACCAAAACTAAAACTCAACTTCAGAACTGCTGCCAAACCACCCTTCTCTCACAGAGAATCAGAGCGGTAAAAGCAAACTGATTTGTATGTATTTTATCCAAAATTTATTGACAGAAAGATGGGTGGGGCTACAGGGACAGTACGAAAGTCACATTCGTGGTTGGCCTTCCGGGGACGCAGCTCCACGGTGGCAGCCCCTGCTCTGTGCGGCCGTCTGTCCGAGTAGTCGCAGCCATCCCCTACTCCCTCCGCTTAATGCTGCTTTCGTCTGAAAGAGCAGCCTGAAGAAGAAAAAAACAAACAAACAAAAAAAAAAACGGCAAGGCAGTCAGAAACACTGCGGCCTCTTTAAGCCCGGTCCCTACAGGGATTTCCTTGCCTCACCAGCCCAAATTCAGCAGTTTTGCCATGTTTTAGGAGAAAAGCACCACCACGGTTCTGAAAACGCCCCATACCGAGTAGTTTTTGGAAGCTGCCAGCCCAGGTGACCCCCGAAGAAGCAAAGGGGGGACCGTTACCCACCTTCTGTCAGCCTCGCCTTGCCCCCCGTGGGCTGGCACAACACGGTCGAGCAGCCCACGCACAAAACGACGGTCTGAGCGTGGCTAAACACCGTAGTGATCTTGTAACAACCTGCCGGGAAAGGGAGAGCTGTGAGGGGAGCGGGAAGGACAGCGGGGGCCGGGGTGTCGCCTCCCCCCGCCCCCGGGGGCCGCCCGCCGCCCTACCCGGGCACTTGACGTCCATGAAGTAGGAGTTGGGGCTCTGCACCAGCCGCTTCTTCTTGTGCTTCCTCTTCTCCTCCTCAGGGGAAGGGTGCAGCAAGTCCTTGGCCAGCTGCGGGGACAAGCGCGGTTAGAGCGCCCGCCCGCCGCCATCTTGGCGCCTCCGCCACGGGAGATGGCGGCGGCGCCGGCTCACCGCCCCCCCCCCCAACCCCGCCGCCGCCACAACCGGGCCTGTCCGCGCGCCTCCCCACCCCGCCGCCCTCCCGTGACCGCGGCGCGGGGCCCCGCCGGGGAGCGGGGGGAACCGCGTCCCGGGCCCGGGGCCGCACTCACGGGCATGGCGGCGTGCGGGCAGCCGCGACCGAAAAGGGGCCAGGCCGGAAGCGGGCGCCGCTATATCCGCTGCGGGGTTCCCCGCACGGGCGGAAGTGAGGCGCGGGCGCTGGGCGGCGCCATGTTGGGAAGGGCGCTGGGCGACGCCGTCTTGGGAAGGGCGCGGTGTGGGCGGCCATGTTGGGAAGGTCGCCAGTCTCGGCAGCCATCTTGGGAGGGGCGCTTGAAGGCGGGGATGGGGTGGGGGGTGTGACGTTAGCTGGCCTCCCGCGGTGGCGTCACGGAGGTGGGGGTGGGTGACGTCATGGCGGCGGGGCATGGCTCGGGCCGAGTCCCCGCCCGACAAGGGGGGGGGGCGGGCCGGGGCCGGGGCCGGGCCGGGGCTCCCGGTGGCGGCGGCGGGCGGGGGCCATGGCCAAGGCCTACGACCACCTCTTCAAGCTGCTGCTGATCGGGGACAGCGGCGTGGGCAAGACCTGCCTCATCATCCGCTTCGCCGAGGACAACTTCACCAGCACCTACATCTCCACCATCGGTACGTCACCGGGACCCCCCCCAACCCCACCGCCACCTCCCCCGGGGACCCCCGGCCCCTTCCCCTCCCGCTGCGGCCCCGCCGCTCACCCCGGGGCCGCTCCCGTCGCTCGCCGCTCTTCTCCTTCCCGCCGCCTGCCCGCAGCCCGGTACCGGCGGGAGGCCGGGAACGCCGCCGGGGCAGCCCCGTGTGCCCCGTCCCCACCGGGGAACGGCGGGGGGCTGAGCCGTTTCCAGGGGGGCTGCGCCACGAAGGACGCCGGCGTGGCACGGTGTGCGGCTCCCCTGCCACCCACCCGGCACCCCGGTGCCCGCTGCCCCGTCTTCTTTCTCCTCTTCCAAGTTTCCACCGCACTTGTAAAACCATTTCCTGAGCCTGGAGCAGCCGCCCCGGCACGGCCCGTGCCATAAACTCCCAGTACGGACACGCCAGCTGCCAACTGGGCCACGCTGTGCCCCACCATCATCCTCCCAGCCTGGCGCTCCAGCCCTTCCTCCTCCGCTTCAGTCCCCGAAACGGGGTGTCCCGCATGTCCTGAAACGGGGCTGAGCAGGGACATGGGAGTTTTTGGGGGGGATTTACCAGCTTTTGGGGCTGATGGATTTGATGGGGGGGGTTCCCAGCTCCATCCCGGCGCAGGCAGCACCGCAGGCGGCCGTGTGGGGTGATGCCATCCCGCAGGAATGCGACGTCCGGCGGGCTGGGGGACGCCGGTGACCCTTTCCCACCCACCACGGACAGTGCCAGGCCTGGACTTTGCCTCCCCCCACTCTCCCGGGATGCCAGATGGTTAACTGGGAAACTGGAGGCTGGGACTGGGAGTGGAGCTGTTTATGGCCCCCGTTTTTCTCCTCCCATCCCAGGGATCGACTTCAAAATCCGGACAGTGGACATCGATGGGAAGAAGATTAAGCTGCAGGTCTGGTAAGTAGTGTGTGTGGGGGGGGTGTGGAAGTGGGGACCCCCCCCCACTGCTCCCCACCAAACTGCCCTCACCCCTCTCGTCTCTGCCTCTCCCCCAGGGACACGGCAGGACAAGAGCGCTTCAAAACCATCACGACAGCCTATTACCGTGGAGCTGTGGTACGGAGGGGGGGTGCAGACAGCCCCCAGAGAGGTTGGGGCAGCTTTGGAGGGGGGGACACCACAGATTCCTGGGGACAAGTCATTGTGTCCCCCCCCCCAAGCTGGGTCAGAGGATCCCTGCCCTACTGACCGCACCATCCTGGCAGGGCATCATCCTGGTGTACGACATCACTGACGAGAAATCGTTTGAGAATATCCAAAACTGGATGAAAAGCATCAAGGAGGTGGGGGTGCATGCTGGGGCAGGGGACACAGTGGGGGGGGCGGGGCCCGAGGGTGGGGAGGGGTCCTGCCCATCCTCTCCTGCCCGCAGAATGCCTCGGCTGGGGTCGAGCGTCTCCTCATCGGCAACAAGTGCGACATGGAGAGCAAGCGGAAAGTGAAGCGGGATGAGGCTGAGAAGGTAGGGAGGGGGGCACTGTGGGGCTGTGGGGGGGGCACCGTGGGACTCCCCCCGCCCCCAGCAGCCAGGTCAAAGTGGGGATCCCCTTGTCCCACAGCTGGCGAAGGAGCACGGGATCCGCTTCTTTGAGACCAGCGCTAAGTCCAGCGTGAATGTGGAGGAGGTGAGAGGGGGTCCTAGATGCGGGGGGGGGGGTGGTGGTGGGGGAGGCTGTGCACCCCCAGACGGGAGCATTATGGGGGGGTGTCCCCATCCCCGGGAGGTGCCCCAGCTGACCGTCCCCTCTCCCCAGGCCTTCAGCACGCTGGCACGGGACATCCTGCAAAAATCCTCCCGGAAATCAGTGAGTGGGGCTGGGGGGGCCGGGCGAGGGACACCACCCCCCCTGCTCTGCCCCCCTCCTGACCCCCTCCCCTCCCTTTTCCAGGCCCCCAGCAGCAGCAGGCCCCTGCTGGAACCCGGCCCCCCGAGGAAGGCAGGGGGTAAATGCTCCCTGGTGTAGGACCGCCGGGCCCCCCCCCCCCCGACGTCACTGCTCCCCCCGCCTGCCCCGGGGCAGCGTGGGCGCCTCTCCGGGGAGGGGGGGGGGGGGCCTCCGGGCCGGGAGGGGGGGAGGGCTGACCCCCCCCCGGTCCGCACTTTGTGCCATAAAGCCCAGCTTGTGCCTTGCCCCGTCTTCGGTGTCTCTGTTGGGGGGGCGGTGGGGCCTGGGGGGGGGGGGGAACCGGGGACGGGGCGGGGAGGGGGCGGGAGCGCCCGGGGCGCCGCCGCCGTGCTAAGCCACGCCCCTTCGGTGAAAACCACGCCCCCTTCGCGGTAAAAATCACGGCCCCTTCGCTCAGAGTCACGCCCCCTCGCGGAGAAGCCACGCCCATTACGTGAAAACACGCCCTCTACTCTCGAAGCCACGCCCCCTTTCGGCGAAAACACGCCCCCCTTCCCCCCTCAACGCCTTCGCTCAAGCCCCGCCTCCGCACAAAAGCCCCGCCCCTCGCTCTCCCCGCCCTTCCCGCCGTCCCCCGCTTCTCCCAGCGGCCCTCGCGCCCGAAGATGGCGGCGCTGGCAGAGAAGCGGAGCCGGGCTCGGTAGTTCGTTCGCGCTGATGGGGCCCCGCGGCCCGGCCGGGTCGCGCCCCTGCGCTCTCTGCCTCGTCCTGGGAGCCTTATTGTGCGGCCTGCGGTGAGCGGGAGGCTGGCGGGCGAATAGCGGCCGGGGAAGCACGGGCCGGGCAGGCCAGGCCCCGAGCGCGGCCTTCACGGCGTCTCTGCTCTCTCCACAGGCCGACGGCGGCGATGGCGGCGAGCGACGAGAGGCGCTCGGGTGAGTTGGGGGGGGGCCGGGAGCCCGGGCTGAGCCCGGGGGGGTTTTCCCCGTTGGGTTCATGCTTAACGGGTGCGCTTCCCGCAGCGAGCCCGGTGGCGGTCACACCGTGCTGGCGGGTGGAGGATTTCGTGGTGGCCCAGGAGTGCGCCCGCTGCTCCAGCTTCCAGGCGGTGAGTACGGGCTGCGCTCGCCCCCTCAGCCGTGCTGTCCGGGGCTGGTGGTGTTGGGGGGTCACATCCTGCCCCGCCACGGCTTCTCATGGTCCCCGCTCGGTTGTAGAAGACAATACCAGAGTGCAACCCTACTGGCTTCATTGAGACGATCAACTGTGCCACCTCCAAGAGGGATGAGTTCAAGAGGTGGGTGCAGGCCCTGGACGCAGGGGACGGGGCAGCTTTTAGCCCTGGGGGAGTCGCAGAGGGCGACGGGGTGGAATTTGGGGGTGAGGCTGTTCCCTACGGGGTTCCTAACTTTCCTCGTGGGCGCAGCTGTCGCTCCGCAGTGATGGAAGCGCACGTTTTCTGGAGGTTTGTGGGCACCATGATGTGCGTCGCCGCCATCTTCGCGGTGCTGGTGGTGTGTCGCCAGCGTGTGCTGGACAGGAAGGCCCTGGAGAAGGTTCGCAAGCAAATCGAGTCCATTTAGCAGAGCCCGGCTGCCCTGGAACAGAGGACTCTACTCGCCCACTGCTCCCAACCGGGTGGGAGGAGGAACAGGGACCTGGGGAAGGCCCTGCCCTGATTTGTGAACATGAAATCCTGCTGGGAGCTGCCTCGGATGCTACTGGGTTGTCCCGTGGGGCCGGTTGAGGGGTGCCCTGCCCGCGCGGGAGGCCCTCAGGGAGCGCGGTGTATAATAAATCCTGATCGTTGTCACCAGAGCGACACTGGCATTTGGCCCCGGGAGGACAGCAGCGACGCTGGCTCCGCTCCCCCCTCAGAGGACTGGGGGGGGTGGGGTGTCACTGTCCTGCACTCAGCGCCGACCCTTTAACAAGCATTGGGGTGCAAACCGGTTGCAGGTTTATTTATCAGTGCTCAGAGCTGCTGGGACTGGAGGAGGCAGGGCACACCCAGCACCCCCTGCTCAGGCTGGGTGTTCCCTCACTGCTGCCCACCCTCCTCCAGGGCAGCTCCCAGGACCCCAGAGCAGGAGCTGCTCTCTCCTGCTTGTCACATCTCGTCCCCATGTCCCTGTTTTGTTGTCTCCGGGGGGTTCTGGCTTGAGGCGTTGGGGGATCTCCCATCCCCGTGCCCCGCCTCATCTCCATCCTCCGCGGCAGCCGCAGGTCCTGGCTCTTCCACCTGCAGCCACCCCGGCACAGGGAATGTGGCTTCTCCACCCGGTCCCAGCGTCTCCCTCCGGGTCAGGATGTGCCTGGAAATCACTGTGGGAACACGGAACGCCGGGGGGAGGGAGCTGCAGCTGGGCAGTCCCCTTGGGACTCCTGCAGCCCACCCGTTACCTCCGGTGGGTCTGTCGCCATCCTGGCTGTCCCCCAGGCCCCGGCGGAAGGGGCTGTAGCTGGGGAAGAGGATGAGTCCCAGAGAGAGGAGCAGGATCTGACAGGGAGGGACAGGAACCATGTGTCCCCAAGCAGTGGTGGGGGACACCAGCGTGTGCTGGGGGTTGCCGGTGTGTGCCCTACCAGGATGCAGGTGCTGGTCTGGGCAGCCTTGTTGGACGTCTGCTTGATCAGCGCCTGCAGCTGCCGCAGCAGGGACCTGCGGGACGAGGGGTCAGCAAAAGCGCCTGTCCTGGTGTCCCTGTACCCCCCCCACCCACTGGCACCCCATGTCCCCCTCCGGCGCCCTGTCGCATGCTCACCCGTTGTGCTTCTCCAGCTCCTGGACTTTCCTCCTCAGCTCCTGGTTCAGGGCTGAGCACGCAGCCACCCTGCCCGGGCAGAGATGGGGACGGCTGAGGGGATGTGTTGGCAGGTTGGGGACACGTCGGGACCCAGGGGACATGCTGGGACACAGGGGACGTGGCAGGACACGGTGCCACCGGCACCCACCTGCTCTCCAGCCCATCCAGATACTCCTTCTTCCTCCGCCGGCTGTCCTGGGCTGACTGCTTGTTCCGGATCTTCCTCCTCACCTTTTTCAGGATCCGCTCCTCAGCCTGGGGTCGAGGCGGGGTGAAGGGGTGAACCCTGCCCCATGCCACCCTCCAGCCCCTCTTCAGCCCCCCCCCCCCCCCCCACATACCTGGGTGAGGGGCAGAGTGCCGGGCAGCGTCACCCCCTCCTGCGCCAGCAGCCGCTTCTCCTCCTCCGTCAGGCGCAGGTGCTGAGATGGGACACAGGCGCGCGCGGGGATGGGCTGGGGGTGCCCGGCAGCGTGGGGACACCCCCGGGGGGAGGTTTTGGGGACTCACCGTGGGGCTGGGTGCTGGCAGGGGCGCGGCAGGCAGCTCATTGATGATGCAGGAGCCGGGGAGCAGTGGGGGGCACAGCCAGTCATCTGCAACAGGGAGGGGGAAGAGCCAGCTGTGTCCTGCCTGCCCTTAACCCCGGAGCAGCGGGAAGGATGCGGCCCCCCCCCGGGGTTGAATGTCGTTTGCGGGGGAGGGGGGGGATCAAGCCCACTAACCCCCCAGCTGGATGGAGATGACACCACTGTGCAAGGCGGGGCTGAGGTCGCAGACCACCTCGTAGAGGGTGGCGGGGGGCTCGTTGCGAGTGGGGGGCTCCGGGCTGGCGTCCTGGGGGGTCACCGGCAGCCGCACCAGCTCCTCGGCTTTACTCCCCTGTGGCCGGAGAGATGGGGGGTGGGGAGAGACAGACATGTGGACCCCAAAGGGTCCTGTGATTCCCCCCTCAGGGTCCTGGTGTCCCTCGGGGGTGTCCCTGCTCCCCCTTCGACACCGACTCACGCCATCGTCGGGGAGCGTCCAGCCCTCGAAGGCCGACTCCGAGGGGACCGAGCCGGGGAAGGGGCAGAGCCCGTCCTGCGGCTCCGGGAACTCCGGTGCCTCCAGCTCCATCGGTTCCGGGGGGGGGGGGGGGCGGTCGCCCCCGTGGGATGCGTGGAAACTCTCCCGGCTCTGTGCTCCCACTTTGGTTCCTCGGTTGCGCAACCGCCTCCGCCCGCTCCCGGGGCCGCGCAACCAGGATCTCCGGTATCCTGGGCAAACCCAGCCAAGTCCCACCCTCCGCAGCCTTACACCGGTAAAAGGGGCCGGGCTTCTCGGACGCTCCCTCCGTCTCGACCGGGGCGGGGCACAGAGAGAAAACCGGGCTGGGAGTTGAGGCCGCCCCGGTCCCGCGTCCCGGAGGCACCGGGGAGCAGCAGCGGGGGGAACCGGGACCCGGGGGCGGGTCGCTGCAGCCGACGGTGGCTCCAGACTCGGGCCGGTGTGTGTGTGTGTGTGTGTCCCCTCCACTACCGGGGGCGGGGAGCGGGACCCCGGCCCCGACCCGCCCCGGTGGAACCGGGACACGTGTGCGCGCCGCTGCGCGTTCCCGGGACAGCGGCACCGCGCCCGCTCTTCTCGTTTCCTATTGGCTGCGACGCTCGTCACTCAGCGGCGCCGTCGGGGTTTTCCGCGTCGCTATTGGCTGCGGCGCGCCGTGGCGGCGCCGCCCTGTGGATCGCCGAGGACGCGCGGGTACGCGGTGACGAGCGGTGAGTGCGGGGAGGGGGAGACGGACACCGGGACCGAGTTCTGATCCCGGTCCGCTATTACCGGAGCTCAGCCCCGTTTCCCCGGGCCACCCACCCCCCCTCCCCCGCCCCGGGGATCCCTATCCCAACCCGCCGCGGCGCTCCGGGAACTGCGGGCCCCGGGACGGGGAGGGATCTGTGAGTCACCGGGGCCGGGAGGCGGCACCGATCGCTCTGACGGTCCCGTCCCGCCGTAGCTCCGGGGATGAGAAACACGGTGGAAACGGCGGCGGCGGTGGGTCGGAGCTTCCCCCGCGGTGGGCGCTGAGCTCCCGCATCGGAACCCGAGCGGGATGGCGGCGGGAACCGGGGCCGGGGCGGAGGAGCTGGCCTGGAGTCCCGGGACGGCGCCGCGACCCCCGCCGGGCCTGGAGGCGAAACTGGGCTCGCTGGTGCTGCTGCTGCTGCTGCCCCTCGGCTGCGGCCTCGCCCCGCTCTGCTGCTTCCGCCAGCCCCCGAGCTCCGCCGGTACACACCGGGGGGGCCTGGGGGGGGGGCCGGGGAGTTTGGGGGTCTCAGGGCTCTTCGGGGGATTGAGGGTCTGGGGGATCCTGGCAAGGCTTGGGGTGTCCCGTGGGGTTCCAGAGGGGTTCAGGGGAGTGTCTGGGATGTTCTAAGGAGTCTGGAGGGGTGTCCAGGGATCTCATGGGTCCATGGGGTTCAGGGCGTTGTGGGGGGATCCCGGGGGCTCAGGGGGTCGGGGGGGGGGGGGGCGTCTGAGGATGTCTGAGGTGTCCTGGGGAGTCTGGGAGGTTCTGGGGGAGTTGGGGGTCTCTGAGGTGTCCCAGGGAGTCTGGGGGGTGTCTGGGGGTCTTGGAGGTTTGTGGATGTCCTGGAGGGTTGGTGGGGGTCCAAGAGGTCTGGGGCATTCTGAGGGGCTCAGTGTGTCTGGGGTGTCCTGGGGATTCTTGGGGGAGTCTCAGGGACTGGGGGGGTCCTGAGTGCCCGAGGGGTTTCAGGGGGTCTGGGGGGTCTCAGGGTCCAGAGGATCCCAAGGAATCTGGGGGGGTCCTGGATAGGCTGGAGACAGCACTGTCACCCAGGGCAGGGCTGACCCCAGGGGGACCTGCTGGATCCTGGGGTGTGGGGCTGGGCTGGGGGGCTCAGCGGGGGGCTCAGCCCCCCCCCCACCCCCGCAGATGCCCGCAGCCCGGTGCTCAGCCTGGTGAGCTGCTTCGCCGGCGGCGTCTTCCTGGCCACCTGCCTGCTCGACCTCCTGCCCGACTACCTGGCCAGCATCAGCGCGGCGCTGGAGGGGCTGCGCATCACGGTGAGAGCCCAGGGACCCCCTCCCTGGGGGGCCTGTCCCCCTGTCTGGGGGAACCCCAGCTCTGCCCTGGGGGTTTCCTGGTGACCCTGTCCCCTGGGATCGGGGTGAGCTGTGTGGGGACAGCGGACAGGGGGATGGTGGGGAGGGGGACAGTTGGGGCAAGACATCAGGGATGGGACAGCGGGAATGGGATGGTGGGGAGGGGGACAGCGGGGATGGGACAGTGTGTGGGGGGACAGCAGGAAGGGGATGGTGGGGCCGGGCGGGAGGCCCTCGTGTCCCGCCGTGACTCATGGAAAGATCCTCCCTCTGCCCACGGCTTCCCGGCAGCCACCACCTCCAGTTTCCCTCCCCAGGGCCGGGTGCAGGCCAAGCCGGGTGCAGGCAGGTGCTGAGCGTCCTCCCCCCACCCCCCCACCCCGCTTTTCCCCCCCTACCATTTTCCCAGCTTCAGTTCCCCTTGCCGGAGTTCATCCTGGCCATGGGCTTCTTCCTGGTCCTGGTGCTGGAGCAGGTCGCGTTGGCGCAGCGGGAGCCGTCGTCCGTCCCGGAGGAGACGCGGGCTCTGCTTCCCACCGGCTCCATCCAAACCCCTTTGCCCCAGTCGCCCGTCCCCAGCGCCCGGGGTGCCATCCGCGCCGGGTTACTGGTGCTGGCGCTGGCGCTGCACGCCGTGCTGGAAGGGCTGGCGTTGGGCTTGCAAGAAGCCGAGGGGGCCGTGCTGAGGGTCTGCCTGGCCCTGCTGCTGCACAAATGCGCCGTGGCCTTCAGCCTCGCGCTGAAGCTGCTGCGGGGCCGCCTGCGCCCGCCGGCGGTGGTCGCCTGCTTGGTGCTCTTCGCCATGATGTCGCCTTTAGGCGTGGGGTTGGGGACGGCGGTGGCGGCGGGCGCTGGGCCGCGGCAGCGGTTGTGCCGGGGGGTGTTGGAGGGGTTGGCGGCCGGGACCTTCCTCTACATCACTTTCCTGGAGATTTTGCCTCAGGAGCTGGGGGTTCCCCAGCATCGCGTCCCCAAGGTCATCTTGCTCCTCGCCGGCTTCGCTCTCGTCACCGCCATCCTCTTCATCAAGATCTGAGACGCTTCCTCTGCGGGGTGGGGGGGGAGACACCACCCCCCCCCCCCTTCCCCATACAGAACCAAGAAGGGGGTTCCCCTCTGCACCCCCTCCTCTGTGCAAGTGCCAAAGTGCCCTCCAGGGGCTGTTCCTGCCCCCCACCCCCCGTGCACCCTGGGTGGGGGGGCCTTCTTGTGGAGACCCCCCCCCCCCCAGGGTGAGGCTCAGCTCCGTGCCTCAGTTTCCCCATCTGCACAGGGGGAACGGTGCTGTCCCCGCCCCCCGCGGGACTCCAAGATGGGGGGGTGGGGTGGTGAGTGTGTATGTGTGTGTGTATGTGTCGTGTCCCCCCCCTCACACCCACAAGTGCCCTTACAGCGGGGGGGGGGGGGGGCGTGTTGGGGTGCACAGCCCCGGCCCCCCCCAGGACAGGGAAAGGTGTTGGATGAAGCAAATAAAGGACTGAACCAGACAGTGCTGCCTCTGCCTGGGGTGGGATGGGCGGGGGGGGGGGACACCACAATATTGGGGAGGGGGATGACAGTGCCCCCCCACTCCCTCGGGGTCTATATGGGCTGGGGGGTTCAAGCCCCCCCAGTTTTGAGGGGGAATGGGGGGTCTGCTCTGTTCCCAGTTGTGGTGGGAGGGGCTGTGACCCAATATTGCCACGCCCCCCTCCCTCCCCCCGTCTCCAGCTCCAACCATTACCCCCGGCCCCCCCCCACAGCGGGCCCCCCATTGCAGCCTCCCCTCCAAGCCCCGCCCCCTTACCCCGTCGCTCCGCCCCGGAGGAGGGCTGAGGCCGCGCGGTGCATGCCGGGGCTTGTAGTCGGGCCCGCCCTCCTCACCCCGCGGGGACCATTGGAGGGGGAAGAGAGGCCGGGGACTCCGTTTCCCATCGTCCCCCGCTAGCGCGCCGCGGGGTCTGCTGGGAGTTGTAGTCCTCCTCCCCACCGCTGCCCAGCGGCACCGCCCGGCTCGCGGACTCCCCGCCCCAGCCTGCCCCGCGCTGCGGCGGCGGCGGCGGCGGCGGCGGCCGGAGCGGCCCGAGCAGGGAAGATGGCGGCGGCGGGCGCGGGGGCCGGGCCCGGGCCCGGTGCGGGTTCTTCAGCCGGTGCCGGCGCTTCCAACCCGCGGAAGTTTAGCGAGAAAATCGCGCTGCAGAAGCAGCGGCAGGCGGAGGAGACGGCGGCCTTCGAGGAGGTGATGATGGAGATCTGCTCCACACGGGTGAGCGGCGCCGCCGAGGCCTCCCCCCCTTCCCCCCCCCCCCCCCCCCCCACCAACGCGCTGCCGGATGCGCGACGGGCCCGGGGGGGCCGGGAGCTGTGAGGGGGGTTGAGGGGGGCCCGGAGCTGTGGGGGAGCCGGGAGCTGTGAGGGGGCAGGTGGGTCGTGAGGGGCCGGAGGGCGACTGGGGGCTGTGAGGGGACTGGGGGCTGATTTAAGGCCTGGGGGGTGTGGATTAGGGGGGACTGTGTGGAGAATGGGGGTCTGGGGGCTCGGGGGGGTGGGGGTGCAGAAGGACGGGGGGCCGAGGGTTCTGATGGGGGTGCGGGGTGAGTGGGGGGGTCAGGAGGTGCAGAGGCAGTGTGTGCGGGGGGCTCAGGTGGGGGCCCAAAGGGGCTGGGGGGGGGTGTTTGGGGGGTGCAGAGGAGATGGCACTGGATGGGGCATCACCCCGAGGCTTGGGGGTAGGTCTGCATTTGGGCTACTGGGAGGGTGTGGAGGGGCCAGGAACGGCCCCCGCCAAGAGAAACACTCTTTCTCCGGGTGCCCCCCTGCACCCCGCTTGTCCTTTCCCCCTGGGTTTATTTTGATTTATTTGGTTGGCCGTGGGTTTTTTGGCAAGGCTCGGCACGTGGTTCGCCCCGGCCCGCGGCCGCCGTGCGTGGGTCCCGGGCGCGCACCCTGCGCCTCCTCCGCTTCCCAGCGACCAGGTGGAAAAAGCGACTCGCTGCCTACGGCACCCCAGGGTTTGCCGGGGAGGGGAGGGGGGGGGCGAGGAGGGGATCCCCGTGCCCACGGCTCTGGGACTCTCACCCTGTCCCAGCCCCGTGTTGCCTCTGCCGGGTCATCCTCCACCGCCCCCGGGGCTCGGGGGGTCTGCCCCTGAGCACCGGGAACCCTCGGGAGGAGGGTTGGGTTAGTCCTTCCCGTTAATGTGGCCGGCTCCCGCGGGAAGCAGCGGATGCTTCGTCCCTGGAGACGCTTCAATTTAGCTCGGCTGAAGCCTGAGAAAACGCAGCGTTGGGAACGCGCCGGATCTGAGCCGGCAAAACAGCCCGCTCGCAGCTTCTGGGGAAGGGGAGTCATCGTTCCCTGAGGGCTTTCAGAGGGACCTCGGTGGCAGGAGGGCTGTGCTGGGGGGGTGGAGGTGGAGCAGGGAGGTCGGGAACGCTGCGCGGCGCCTCTCCAGGAGCGTGGTTTCCTGGACAGGGGACGATGTCGAGAGGAGACGGTCAGCTCCGGTTTGTGTTTCTCTCTGTGTCGGCCCTGAGGAGGCGGTGGGGATCGCGCGGCCGTTTGCCAAGATCGGGGTTTGGCCAGATTTCAGCTCCTGGGGAGGCGGGTTGTGCCAACCCCAGCAATGGGGTTCTGCGGCGCCGCGGGTCGCTGGTCCGGCAGCCAGCGCCGTCCTTCCTGCGGGAGATACGGGATGGATGAGCGAGGGGAGCGGAGTGTGGAGTTGAGGGAGCCGGAGACACGGCGAGGCTCTTTCAGGCGACAGGGACCGCTGTTGGGGAGGCTCATGTGTCACCCCACACTTGGGGTCAGCGAGACTGAAAGAAAAGGGGAGCAAAATCCCTCAGACCTGTAAAAAAGGGGGTGTTTGGGTTGGAGAGCCCCGCTGGCACCCTGGGTCTGGTGAGGCAGCAGTGACCCACGGACCTGAGGCTGTTGCCAGGAGGGTGACGGTGACAGGATCTCACCGGCCCCAGGGGAGCGACGTGCGGCTCTTCCCCGAGCTGAGAGCAGCCCCGTCCCCGGCAGGCAGGCAGGGCTCCCGAGTGGGGGGACATCTCCCTGGAGGTTTTGTCCCCACTCTCGCCGGGACGGCAGGCGGGAGCTGCGACCTGCACATCGCTGGTGAGTTTGGGAGTGGGCTGGAGCCTCCCGCACGCTGTTTGCACAGTAAACAGCTGGTTAATGTGCAGCAAAGCCGGGAGGAGAGGCAGCAGGACTGTCCTCCCCACTAATCCCCTGCTCCAGGACGCTTTCTCCGGGGAGTTTGTTCCCCACATGTGGGACTGGCAGTCCCGGAGAGGCATAAAGCCGCACGGCCCGGGACAGGAGCTGGTCCCAAGTGGGGTGCTGGCCCCGTGGCTCCCCTCCATCCTTCCCCACAGGGCTGCAGGCAAGGAGCTGGCAGTGACCGTCGTGCCGGCAGCTTGTGCCCGACACGGGTGCCTCCGTTCTGTGGCTCCTCACCGGCGGAGAGGTGGTTGGAGGGGCTGCTGCCCACTTCTGGGGTGCCCTTCTCCTGCTGCTGGGGTGTAACAGCCCCTCAAGCTTCTCTTTGTGTTTCCTGGAGTTTTTTTCTGGCCACTTGTGAGCTGCTGCCTGATTTCGGCCTCGTCTGGCTTTGCCGGCTCCCGCAGGGACCCTGGCTCGGAGAACAGAGCAGGCTCCCAAGACCTTAAGCCTCAGCGCAACTCCTCGCACTAATCCTGCAGTGCCAGCGCAGCCAGCTGTTGACTAAATCTCTCGGTTTTTTGTTTTTTTGGTTCTTTTTTTTTTTTTTTTTTCCCCCTGGATCTGGATTTCACTGGTCTTAAGCTTGGGAATTTGCTGTCGCAGGTTTCCCGGCTGCAGCCCATTTCCAAGCTGCTTTTTATGCTTCGTCTCCTCTTTCCCTGGGGTTTGTCCAGGACCGACGAGCGCTGGTGCTGACTGGCGCGTGGGGCTGCTCAGGGATCCCCCCCCAGGTCCAAAGGGAAGGTGAATTCGTGTGCGCTTGGCCTTGGCTCTGTGGGTCCGCACTGGGGAAACCCTCCTTCTCCAGTGGGATGCTGAAGGGGGAACTGGGATGTGCCCTGGTGCTGGAGGGGATGATGAGGGCCGTGCCGTTTCCTGGGATTTGGGCAGCAGAGCCCTTTCCCGCTGCTGTCACGATGAGGGAGTCTTGTGGTGGGTCAAACCCTTGCGGGGTCGGGGCAGGAGGGAGTTTTGGGTCCAGCTCGGTGCTGGTGCTGTCCCAAGGACCCTGACTCTCCTCTGCTGTGGGGTTTTCCACCGCCACCGACCGCTGGGGGTGGGTGCCCAGACCTGGTTATCTCCCGCCTGCGGTTTGCTGTGACTCCTTCCCTTGGCCTTGAGCAGCACCGGGAGCCGGCAGGCTGCCGGGCCGGGCTGAGCAGGCAGCCCCTCCTGCTCGCCAAGCTGGGATCTCCCCCACTTATTTGGGCTGCAGCACTTTAGTGGGGATGTCTTTAGTGGGGATGAGGTGCTTGCTGGAAACCCCAGCACCTCCAGATCGAAGAGGATGAGCTCATGCACTGACTGCCAGTGCTCGGGGAGCCCAGAGCCCTCTCGGGTGGGCACGGGGGCTTTGACTGTTTTTGGGCAGGGCTGGGCTCAGCTTCTTTGGGGATGTGGGTGCCACAGCCTGCGGGAGGGATGTGGCTTTCCCCGCTCTGGGCTACCAAACCCAGCGGGGGTTCAGCATCCTTCCTGCACTGGAGCACCCACGGAGAGAGGAAAGTCCCTCGCAGGGCCTCCTCCGTACTTGGTGGCTTTGAAGTGGAGAGGAACTGGGCACCTTGAGCCCTCCCAGCCCACTCCCACGGGATTTTTGAAGCTGTGTGGGTCGGACATGCCTCGCTCAGGGGTCGCCTCCTCCTGTGGGAAACCCTGGGGGGCTTGATACCGCGTGTAGGGCAAGCTTGGGGCTCGGCTGCAGGAGGGAAGAGCGTGGGGATGACTCACCGGGATGGGGACAAGGATGTCTTGGGTGTAACGGGGCAGTTTGGAGGAGCCCCAGCACCCTGGGGGTGCCTGCTGGCCCCTCCCTGACCTGCCCCCCCTGGCCCAGCTACAGGCACAGAAGCTGAGGCTGGCGCACAGCCGGGGACCCTACTACAGCGGCTCCCTGCCCAATGTCAACCAGATCGGCAGCGGCGTCTCCGACTTCCAGGTGGGCAAACACCCGCTGCGCCGAGGGGGAATTTTGGGGAGGGGGGGTGGGTGTCTGCACAGCAGCTGCCACCCTCAGTGCCCTGGGGAGGGGGGGCCAGGACTTGAGGAGGAGGATGAAGAGCTGTGGCACGAGCCGCTGCTGGGGACGGATGATGGGGTGAGGGGGTGTTCTCCTCTAATCCCTCTGCTTGGCCTCAGCTCCATCCCCCCACCCCGGTGGCGCTGGGGCAGTCGGGGGCGGGCTGATCCTGAGACCCCCTCCCTCGCAGACGGGCGGTGGGCTCACCCCGGTGTCTCCTCCCCGCAGGGCCCTTTGCACTCGCCGCTGGACTCCACGCGCAGCACCCGGCACCACGGCCTGGTAGAGCGAGTGCAGCGGGACCCGCGCCGCATGATGTCCCCGCTTCGCCGATACGTCCGACAGATATCCTTTATCCCGTTCCCTCCTGCCCCCTCCGCGGGGGACGAGAAGCCTTTTCTCCCACCGCTGGGACTCCTGCCCCGATCCCGGTGCCCTCCCAGCGCTCGTCTCTTTGGGATTAACGAGCATTGACAACGCGTGCTGCCCCGGCCCGTCTGCGGGGTTGCGTTAGGTGCCTGCACACCGGCTGCTCAGCCCCTCGCTCTCCGTTTGGCCCTTAACGTGCCCCTCACATCGACAGCTCTCCCTACGGACCGACCTACCTGTCACCTCCGCCCGAGCCCAGCTGGAGGAGGTAAAGACCCCATGTTTTCTTGGCTCCTGGCACTTGTTTTCGGGCTGCTGGTTTCCAGCCCGCTGCCTCCCCGTGTCTGCGGGGTCACTGGAGCCCGGGGCTTGCTCTGTGGTAAAGAGCACCCAGAGATTTTGGAAACGGGCAGGCTGGCAGGAGCCCAGTGCGGGAGAGTCCCTCGCAACGGGCAGCCCCCCCTGGGAGGATTTACACAGCTTCCCTTGCCAGTCTAAGGGGGAGAAACCAGGCCTGAGATGCCAGGAGTGGGGCTGGGAGGTCTCCCCCCCCACCTCTGATTTCGGGTGCTGCCCGCACTGTCTCCCCGAGAGGGAATTTTTAAGGATGAACAATTTCATCATGCCCAAAAGAGCCGGCTCCGGCGTGCAGGGCGGCATCCACCTCCCATGGCAGCGGGAAGAGGGCTCCTGCCCGAGGTGAATCACCGGGCGGCCGAGCCCCTGCATGCTCCGGCCCTTGGCCCCGGGGGCAGGCGAGGACGGGGCTGGCTGGCCAAGCCCGAGCGTGCCCCGAGCGTCGGCTCCGTCCCACCGAGGTCCCGGTGAGCTGCGGCTCCACGCCGGAGCCGCTCAGGCTCAGCCTTTTTAGAGGTCGCTCAGGGTTCCTGGGCTTTATTTTCAAGGCTGCCCTCGCTCTGAAGTGCTGTGCTCAGCACCGCTCTCCTTCCCTGGCCTGAGGACCATTCTCCCAGGCAGACTCGTTGCCGATGCTCCTGCCGTGTCGGTGCCCGGCGCAGCTCGGCTGCCGTCTCGGTGCCAGGCTGGCAGCCCTGGGTTGTGCCGCGCGTCGCTGGGGCTCTGCTGGAGCTTCATGTTGTGTCTTGCACTTTGTTCCCCGCGATGAGCCTTGGCGCCGGTCAGTCCAGAGTGCAAGGGCTGCGGTCTCGTCCCCCGGCACGTCTTCTCCCCATCCCGCTGTGCCCAAGCCCAGCTGTCTGGGTGCCCTGTCTGCCATCCTCCCGGGGATAAAGGCTTGGCTTTTATCCCCCCAAAAAAGAGGTTGTGTCAAATCCTCCCCATCACTTGCAGCGAGCACGGTCATCCTCCCTGCAGAACCTCAGGCTCTGAGGAACCGTCCCCAGGAACATCTCGCCGCAAATTCCTCACCCCAGGCTGGAGGGGAGGGACGCTTTCATCCATCTTCCAGATAGTTGCCTTCACTTGGCTCTTGCTCCGTGATGCTTCCCCAGGCACTGCTGGAGGGGAGGGTGGTCTCTGGCCTGTGGTTCCCCCACCCTGGGGCATGGAGACCCTCCAGCCTTGCTCCAGAGACCCTCCGGCGCTGCCCCAGCTCCCGCTGCATTGCCTCTTGGCTGCGGTCTGCGCGGGCCGGCCGTGTTTTTGGGTCTCTGAAGCCAAGCCGCCCATTGCCGCCGTGTCTGGGCTGCGGGCAGAGGGCGAAGGCAGGGAATAGGGTGAGGATGTCGCAGATCACCCCGACCCGGTGCCGAGGGGTGTCCCTTAGGGCTGGCGGAGGTACCCCAACTTGTCCACGCAAGGCAGCCTGCAGGCAGCGAGCTGCCTGCCTCCTGCTGCCCCCTCCCCACCGCTAACCCTCCTTCCCGTGGGGCAGTGCTGCCCTGTGCCCCCCACCTTTGCCCCCCAAGTAACCCTGCTGTTTCTCCTTACAAAGGACCATGCCCTGGAGTAACTTTCCCATGGAGAAAGGACATTTGTTTAGGCTGCCGTCAGCTCTCAACAGGTGAATCATTTTTTGATTCCATTTTTCTCTCTCTCCCTGTCTCTAAGCCGGGCTCCAGCCCTTCCCCAGGACCCCCAGGGTGGGCACAGCCTTGCTTGTAGCAACTCCAGTCCCCCAGGAGAAGAGAAAGGGTCTCCAGGCTGCTCCGGCCGCTGAATGAGGCGACCCCTTGAGCGAAGAGGCCCCGGGGAGGCGGTGTCTCCGTGTGCCCCAGGCTTGGTGCAACCACTCTGAGCTCTCCTGCCAGCCCCGGAGAGCCGTGGCTTTGGGGTTGTCCCCTTTCCCCAACCTGGGGTACGACGGGGTCTCGGCAGGGCGAGCCGGGGCTCCGTCTCCCTTGGGATGTGCGGGAAGCGATGCCGGCACCTCCCGGGGCAGGGTGCTGGCAGCGGGGCCGTGGCGCGGGCGGGCGCCCATCGCTCCCCGGCTGGGCCCCGCGCGGGAGGGGGGCTGCGTCCCATGGGCGGCGGGGGGAGCTTCCTGCCTCCCAGCTGCGCCGCAGCTGAACAATGTCCCCCTTGTGCGGTCCCAGGACGCGTCATTAGCTCGAGCAGCCTTTTTCCCAGCCCCTCCCCGCGCTCATCCGCTTCGGCCCAACTAATTGGGAACACAATGGGGGGGGAATATCCCTGGGTCCTCTGCCCCCAGCCCCTCCAGGGCCCCTGGGGGAAACAAAGTGTCCCTGGGGGAGGCTGTCTTCCCCCATGCTGGGGGTGGCGAGGGCTCCGGGGCCTTTGCTTCGGTGGCAGAGCCGTCCCTCAGGGGAGACGGGGCTGGAGCAAGCCCCAGCGTGTCTGGAAGTGCCGGGCGAGGGACCCCACTAGAGCAGCGAAACCCACGGTGCTCTCCTTCCCTTTTTTGCCTGCTGCCCTGGCCCTGCTCTCACCCACCATCCCAGGGCCGGGGCTGGCTGTGGGGGGACTGTCCCAGCAGCAGGCTGTAAATAATGGGGTTGGGGGGGAGGTGAGGGTGAGGGCCGAGCCTGAGCCTATCTAACGATCACTTTTCCAATTAGAACAAATTCCGACTCGGCGCTTCACACGAGCGTGATGAACCCCAACCCCCAAGACGCCTACCTGGGCCCCTCGCAGGGCGCCCCGCCGCCCGGCCGCCGGAGCGGTGAGCGTCCCCTCCCTTGACACCCCGCTTCCCCCAGCAGGACTCGGCCGCTTCCCGCCTCCACCCAGCTACCTCAGGACCCCCAGGCCCCTTCCGCCCCTCGAGGAATCTGGGGGGGCACCGCAGGGGGCCCTGTCCCTCCACGGTGGGGTCACACAGCAGGCCCCCCCCCCCCCCCCCCCCAGCTTCCTGCTGTGGTGCTGGCTGATGTCCCCCGGGTGCTGCCACTAACAGTCACCTGCTCTCTTGCAGGTTTTCTGGACGGGGACGGGGACAGTAAAGGTGAGTGCCTGCCCGCACCCGGCAGCGTGGCACCGAGCCCTGCATGGACCCGTGTCCCCCCCTCCTCCTTGCAGTCTGCAAAGAGCTGCGGCAGCGGGTGGGATGTAGGGGGGGCCGTGCCCGGGGACCCCTCTGTGGCCGGTGGGTCTGTAACACCCCACTCGTGACCGGTCAGCAGCCCCGGGGGTGGATGTGGGTGGGTTGTGCCGCTCTCCCTGCCCTGACCCTCTGCTCCACCCTCGCCAGTGTTTCTTTTTCAAGTGCCTCCCATCGAAGAGACTTTCGACGACAACAAGCATTCGCTGAAGCCCTGGGACACCAAGAAGGTGGGTGCAGAGGAAGAACGGTGAGGAAGCGACCCACCGTGTCCCCTTGCCCTGGCTGCCTGCTTCCTGCTCGCGGGGCCTTGCGACACCAGGGTGGCTCTGCCTCCTTCCTGCCCTCAAACCGTGGCTGGCCCGGGGTTGTGGGTTCAGCATCCCGCCCTCTCTTCATTCCTCCTCTTTGATTTCGCAGCTCTCGTCGTCCTCGGCCCGTCCGCGATCCTGCGAAGTCCCTGGGATCCAGTAAGTCCTGGGCAGGGTGGGGCACGTCTGGGAAGCCCCAACCCATGGGTGGCCACGGAAAAGGGGCTGGAGGAGGGGATGCAGCATTCCCATACTGAGAGTGTGTCTCTTCCCCCAGCATATTTCCGTCCCCGGATCAGCCTGCCAACGTCCCCCTCATCCCCTCGGCCCTCAACACGGGCGGCTCCCTTCCCGACCTCACCAACTTGCACTTCCCCTCCCCACTGCCCACCCCGCTCGACCCGGACGAGACCCCCTACCCCAGCCTGAGCGGGGGCAACAGCACCAGCAACCTGGCCAACACCATGACGCACCTGGGCATCAGCGGCAGCATGGGACTGGGGACGGGCTACGACTCGCCAGGTGAGGGCTGGCCCCGGCCCGTTGCCGCCGGCGGGCAGGGAGACGCCGGAGCCGGTGTCCCGGGGTGGCTGGACCAGCTGCCGAGATGTGGGGAGCCAAGAGAGAGGCCCCCGTGATGGGGAGCCCCCCACCCCACCCCAGCCGCCGTCCCAGAGCTGACTGTGGCAGAGATCGGGCGATCCCGGCCTGGGACGGAGCCGCCGCAGCCTGGGAGCGGGGTGGGGAGAGCTGCGGGGTCCGGTGGCATCTGGGGGTCCCGTGGGGAGCCCGCCGCCCGCCCCGGCACCCTCTGCTTGCTGACCTGGAGCATCCTGCGCCGCCGCCAGTCCCAGTCCCGGGATCTGTGTGTGTGTGTGTGTGTGTTTCTGTCTCTGTCTCCATCATTTCAGTCGCCTCCGTCACCTTCAATCCCACCCGGGGCAGATGGGGAGCCCCAGCCTGGCCCGGCCCGGGGAGGAGAACCTGGGGCGTGGGGTGATTCCGTGGGTAACGGTGGTGTCTCTTCTTTTTTGTCCCCACAGGACTTACCTCACCTATGCAGAGCTCCCTGAGTAACCCGTCCCTGCAGTCCTCGCTTAGCAATCCCAACCTCCAGGCCTCCCTGCGAAGCCCCTCGCTCCAGTCTTCCCTCAGCAACCCCTCGCTCCAGTCTTCCCAAAGCAGTTCCTCCATCCCTTCCTCGCTCTCCAACCAGTCCCTGCCTTCCTCCCTCTCCTCCTCGCTCAGCAATCCCTCCCTCCCCACATCCCCCCGCAGCCAGCCCATGCAGTCTTCCCCCAGCAACCCCAGCCTGCCCTCCGGCTTGAGCGGCTCTTCCTACGCCCCCATGGTGCAGGCGTCCATAAACACCTCGCCCCGCCGACGGGTCCCGCTCAGCCCCCTCACCCTCCCAATGGGTGGCGACTCCAGAAGGCAGCACCCCAAACAGTTCTCACCAACAATGTCACCCACATTGTCCTCCATCACCCAGGTATGCATGGTCCATCGCCCGCGCCGGCCCCGCGCCGCGCGCTCGCCTCCGTCTCCTCCTCCCTCGACTTCTCTCTTGTCTCGTTTCCATCCTCATCTCAGCCACATACCAGCGAAGCCCCTCGCCCCCCCCTCTTTGCCCGGCCCACGGACCCCCTCCCCGTCGGGAAGGGAGCTCCGCGCAGCCGGGGAGGACACAGCACATCCCAGCCGGGCCTCCCCCACCCCGGGATCCCTGCTCCGGATGGTTTTTTTTTTGGGGGGTGGGGTGTTGAGGGGGGTAGGGGGGGGAGCCCGGCCCGCAGCGGGTGCTGGGTGCAGGGTTTCGGTGCCGGGTGTGGAAATTTGGGATTTTGGGATTTCCCGCCTTGCCTCCGTCTCCCCAACCCGGTGCTGGGGGAACGCACCGAGGGGGAAGGGGGGGGCTGGCGGAGACAGGGGCGCTGAGCAGAGGGGCCGGATCCTGGTGGGCGCTGGGGTGGGTGCAGACTGACACCCACCCCCCCCACCCCCCCTTTTTTTTTTTTTTTTTTTTTTTTTTTTTTTTTTTCCCTCTCCGCTCTATCCGCAGGGGGTACCCCTGGACACCAGCAAGCTGCCAGCCGACCAGCGGCTCCCACCGTATTCCTACAGCCAGCCTGGCCTGCTCCTGCAATCCCAGCCGAGCCAGAAAACCCTGCACCAACCCGTGCAGTCCCCCCCGCAGCCGCCGTTGCCCCCCGCCCCACCGACACGGCCCCCGGGGCCGCCGAGCGGGGCTGCTCAACGCCCCTACGCCCCCCAATACCAGCCTAACGCCCCCCTGCAGCAGCTGGGACAGCCCCTGAGCGACTTCGGCTTGGGCAGCGTGAGTGCTCCGGGGGGGGGGGGGGAGAGGGAGTTGGGGGACACACACACACACATAGCAGGGATATTTATCCCCCTGAACTCCACCTCTCCCCGCAGTTTGAGCAATTTGGGATGGGGGAAAGCCCCACCGGGAACAGCGGCGGCTTCCCCGAGGAGCTGGGGGGCCTGAGCTACCCCCCAACCGAGGGCACCTACGACCCCCACGTCCTCAACCGGCAAAACCTGAGCAACTGCAGCCGCCACGGCCCCATCCCCAACATCATCCTCACAGGTGGGTGGGAAACCACATTCCCCCCGGGGCCGGGGGGACGTGGGTGACAGGGAAGGGTGCTGAGCGCCCCCCCCCCGCCCCTTTCTCTCCCCCGTAGGGGATTCTCCCCCCGGCATCTCCAAGGAGATTGCGACGGCGCTGGCCGGCGTCCCCGGCTTCGAGGTGGACGCGGCGGCTTTGGGTTTGGAGGAGGAGCTGAAAATCGAACCGCTCACCCTGGACGGACTGAACATGCTGAGCGACCCCTACGCTCTCCTCACCGACCCGGCCGTCGAGGATTCCTTCCGCACCGACCGCCTGCAGTGAGGGGCCGGGGCCCCCCCCCCCCCCCCCCCCTTCATTCTACCCCTCCCTCTCTTTTTCCCTTTTTTTTTTTTTTTTTTTTTTCCGGTTAAACGGTGGGGCCACCACCGGCTCCCTCCTCGGACAACGGGGCTGGGGGATGCTGGAGCCGGTGGGAAGAAGTGGGGGGGGGGGGGGGGGGGGGGGAGGGATGCGAGCCAGGCGCTCTCCAGCCCCACGGCACCCCCAAACCCCGGTGGAGAGGGGGCTCCCGTGTCCCCCCCCCCCAGGGGCGGCTGTACATAACCCCGTAGGTAGAGACAGTGGGGGGGGGGGGGGGCGTATAGGGGGGCTGCTTCTGTTTTTATTTTATTTTTTTCTGGCTAATCATCATGTTTAAGGAGAAATCCTGCTCCCCCTGCCCCCCCAGCTGTGCCCCGTATGTACCCCCCAGCCCCCCCCCCGACCTTACCCAGCTGCTGGGGACCCCACGGGATGTGTAGAAAGCACTTGTAACTTTGCCCCCCCCCCCGCCCCCCCCCAAATACCCTCCGGGGGAGTGTGGGGGCCCCGTCCGCGGGCGGGGGGACCTGGGGCCCCAGGACCCGCATTCCCCCCTGCCCAGGAGGGAGCCAGAGTGATTTATTATTATTATTATTTTTTAAATATATATTATATGTTAATTAAATGCCCCCTGTGATGGCGTGTGGCTGATTTGGGGGGGGGGCGGGGGGGACCCTGAGCTCCTGGGCCTCCCTGTGGGGGCTTTGGGGGGATGTTCAGCAGCGCCAGTGTCTTGTCCCCCACACCCCCCAGTCCTTTGGTCTGGGGTCTCTTACTGGTGGGGGGGGGGTAATGGGGGGGATGCAGTGGGGTTCCTGGGGGTATGGGGGGGGGGGGGCAATGGGGGCACTGGGGGGTGTGCAGTGGGGTTCCTGGGGCTATGGGGGGGGGGAAATGGGGGTACTGGGGGGGGCAATGGGGGTACTGGGGGGGGCAGTGGGGTTCTTGGGGGCACTGGGGGGGATGCAGTGGGGTTCCTGGGGCTATGGGGGGGGGGAAATGGGGGTACTGGGGGGGGCAATGGGGGTACTGGGGGGGGCAGTGGGGGTACTGGGGGGGGCAGTGGGGTTCTTGGGGGCACTGGGGGGGGTGCAGTGGGGTTCCTGGGGCTATGGGGGGGAAATTGGGGTACTGGGGGGGCAATGGGGGTACTGGGGGGGCAGTGGGGTTCTTGGGGGCACTGGGGGGGGTGCAGTGGTGTCCCTGGGAGTGTGGGGGGGGCCGTGGGGGTACGGGGGATTCTGGGGGGTTGGATTGCGGCTATGGGAAGCTTGGGGGGGTTCCACGAAGTTTTTGGGAGTGCTGGGGGTGGGGCGGTCCTGGGGGGGGTCCTGGAACCTTTTAGGGGTGCGGCGGGGGAAGAGTCCGTGGGTGCAGAGAGTCCTCCCGGCCGCCAGGGGGCGCTGTCGGCGGCGGCGGGGCCGGGCGGGCGCGCGGGAGCGGCCCGGTGGAGCCCAGCGGCGCGGCCCGGCCCGGCCCTCAGGTACCGGCGGGGGGGGGGCCGGGGGGGGGCCGGGGACCGGGGAGGGCCGGGCTGGCTGGAGCGCCTGTGGGGTCAGTTAGAGGGCTTTTGGGGTCAGCTATAGGGCCTGTGGGGTCGGCTCTAGGGCCTGTGGGGCTGGGTGTAGGGCCTGGGCTGACTATAGGGCCTGTGGGGCCGGGCGTCTATACAAGGTGTATAGGCCCGGCTGGGGGGGGGTGTAGGGCCGGCTGTAGGGCTGTGGGGCCGGCCGGGTGTCTGGGGTGCACGGGGCCGGCTGGGGGTGGCTCTGCGGCCGGACTGAGCTTTGCTGACACCCCCCCCCCCGCCAATTTCCAGCCCAGGGTTTCCAGCCCGAGATGGGGGACACGCACACCCGTGGTGTGCAGGGTGCCGTGGGGCAGAGGGCACACAGCGGGACAGGGCCCCCCAGTGCTCCCCTGCTTTTGGGGCGCAGGTTTGCCCCCTAAACCAGCGGGCTGGATCCTTAGGGATGGGGTCAGGGCGCGAAGCGGGGGTCCCACCTCCCCCGCCCCTCGCCGTGAGGCCGGTTCCTGCTGCGGCTGGTGGCAAAGCCCTGCCTCTCCCACGGGAGACCCCCGTGGGGCTGCCCACACTGAGGGTCACCGGGGAGGGGGACCTGTCCGCTGAGACCCCGCTGTGTCCTGCTGGCTCTCAGTGGGGTGCCCCACTGTGGGGTCCTGCCCAGGACCCATGAGAGTGGGGGGTGTGGGACACACACACACACGGGGGACCCCCCTCACTGATTTCTCCCCACCCAAGACGAGTGGCAGGAAGCTAAATTGGGCCATGTCTTGGTTGCTGGCACGTGACACTGAGCTAAAAATAGCCCGGGTGGCTGGCAGTGGGACTGGGGGGTCCCGGGGTCCCCAACTGGGGGGACGGGGACAGGCTCCAACGGCTGCCGTGGCCCTTCCTCTGCCGGCACGGGGGATGCTGGCACGGCGTGGTGGTGTGACACCCCCCCCCACCCCCCCAGCTAAGGGGGTTTCCCCTTTGGGGACGTGGGGCCACCACGGTGTCCCTGCTTGGGGTTCTCCGTGTTGGGGGTTGGGACCAGTTTGCCCCCCCCGCCCTGGGACGGTTGGGGCAGCGCCGCCCCCGGTGCCCCACGGAGAGGGGTGACAGCTGCGGGGGTGTGACGTGGGTGTTGGCGGCCTCGTCGCCCCTCTTCCTTCCCCTTTCCAACCCGCCTCGCTGCAGCTCTTCGGCGGATCCCTCCGGTGGCACCCAGGCAAGCTGGGGGGGGCTGGGGACAGGGAGGGGGCATGTGAGGGGGGGAGAGGGGCCGGCTGCGGGCCAGGGGTGCAGCCGCTAAGGCGGGGGGGTGGGGGCCACGCCGCAGGGTTGGGGGTCCTGTCTCAGAGGCGCTGCCTGTGGGGGTGTCCCCTCTCAGCTGGTGTGCTCAGAATGAGGTGTTATTCCCCCCTCTGCCCCCCCACAAGCCGTGGGGGTCCCCGATCACGTCGCCCTGTGCTTGGCAGCGTGACCGGAAACCTCCTCCCTTCCCGTCCCCGGCGTTTTCGCCCTGTCAGCTCCGCCGTGCCCCACGGCCGCCAGCTCAGCTGTGGGGCACCCCACGCTGCCAGCCTGCCGGGGCGGAGGGGCTCACCCTGCTCCGCGGGGCCCTCGGGGACGGCCGGTTTGGGTGGGCTGTGGGGCAGGGTTGGGGTGCCACCCATCCTTCCGTCCCCACCCCCCTTCCCTGCCTCCACCACCCTCCAGATGCCGTGAGCCATGTCGGACGAGAAGCCCCCGCAGCTGGTGGATTACTTCGTGGTGGCCGGACTGACGGACACCTCGCGGCCGCTGGAAGAGGAGAGCCAGCAGCACCGCCCGGCCCGCCCCAGCGAGCCCATCACCGACGTGGCCGTCATCATCCGCTCGCAGGGCGAGGAGGTGCCCCACGGCTTCACCTGCATCGAGACCACCACCTCCGGCCACCCCGTCGACCTCAACGCCGGGCTGCTCAACAACCCCCAGATGTTCATATGCTACAAGCGGGGCCGGGACAAACCCCCCCTCATCGAGCTGGGGTGAGTCCCGGGGACTGGGGGGCTGTGTGTGTGTGGGGGGTGAGTGGCTCCCCGGGGGTCCCCATCACCCCTCCTCTCCACCCAGGGTGCACTATGAGGGCAAGGACCGCCCGAAGCCGGGCTATAAGATCCTGGACACCACACCCTACAGCCGCTCGGCCAACCTCAATTCGGGGGGGCCGGGACATCAACGCACCTTCCTGACGTACCGGCGGGCAGCCGAGCCCCATGGCCACAACACGTTGGGGGTCACCGACATCTGCCTCGTCATACCCAGCAAGGGCGAGAGCACCCCCCACACCTTTTGCCGGGTGGACAAGAACCTCAACACCAGCATGGTGGGTGCCGGGGTCCCTCCTCTCGCCGCTGCCGGGACGCCCCCGCCCCGTTAACCCCCCCTCTCCGCTCTCTCCTTGCAGTGGGGCCCTGCCCTGTTCCTGTGCTACAAAATCGCCATGGCCAAGGCCAACACGCTGGTCTACGAAGCAGGTGGGTCTCTCTCGCGGCGATTGCGGTGGGGTGGGGGGGGTCATCCCGCCGTGGGCTCGCCCTGCCAGGCTGCCGGGCGCCCGCCCAGCTGCTCCCCTGCTCAGCTGCGTGGGGGGAATGCTAAGGTGAAGCTCATCCTTCTGTCTGTCTGTCTGTGCAGGGCTGCTGGGGCGTTACCCCGAGCAGGACAGCGAGTCCTTCCCCCTGCCCGAATCGGTGCCCGTTTTCTGCCTGCCCATGGGGGCCACCATCGAGAGCTGGCCGGCTGACACCAAATACCCGCTGCCCGTCTTCTCCACCTTCGTGCTGACGGGCGCCTCGGGCGACAAGGCAGGATGGGGCGGGGAGGGCTCGGATTTCGAATTGGGAGGGGAGGAAAAGCGATGGGGAAGGTGTGTGTGTGGGGGGGCTGTCCTCCCACCCTGACCTCCCGCCCGCCCCACGCAGGTGTACGGGGCGGCCATCCAGTTCCACGAGGCGTTTCCCCGGGAGCGGCTGTCGGAGAAGCAGAGCCTGCGCCTGGGCCTGCTCAGCGTGGTGGATCGCCGGCCCGTGGCCGGCCGCTCGCTGCAGACCCGCAAGAGCATCTGCGTCCTCTCCCACTGGCCTTTCTTCGACGTCTTCCGCAAGTTCCTCATGTTTATCTACCGCTACTCCATCTCGGGGCCCCACGTGCTGCCCCTCGAGACGTGAGCGCCGGGCGAGGGGCGGGGGGGCGGGGGGGGTTGGTTTTTTGGAGGAGGGACACATACACACACACACAGATGGACACACACACAGGGGGGGGTGGCCCCCCTCACCTCCCCGCCGCTGATGGGCCCCTCTGCCTGCAGGCACATCTCGCACTTCATGCACAACGTCCCCTTCCCGTCCCCGCAGCGGCCGCGCATCCTGGTCCAGGTGAGTCACTGGAGGTGGGGGGGGGGGGGTGTGTGTGGGGTGTGTCCCCCTCCTCTGCCATCCCTGTCCCCATGCTGGCCCCCTTCCCCCCCCCCCTAAACCCACCGTGTCCCCCCCAGATGTCCCCATACGACAACCTGCTGCTGTGCCGCCCCGTGTCCTCCCCGCTGCCGCTCAGGTAGGGACGGCTGCGGGGCACTGGGCGGTGGTGGGGACAAACACACCCGCAACGGGAGGGGGGACATGGGGTGGCTGAGTGATGTGTCATTCCCCCCCCCTTCCCCCCCGCTGCCACGCCCCCCATTTCCCACTCCCCCCCCACCCCTCCTCGCAGCGGCGCCAGCTTCCTGACGCTGCTGCAGAACCTGGGCCCCGACAACGCGGTGGCACTGCTGGTGGCCGTGCTGACCGAGCAGAAGCTGCTCATCCACTCCCTCCGCCCCGACGTCCTGACCAGCGTGGGCGAAGCTCTGGTGGCGGTGAGTGCCGGGGTGGCAGGGCAGGGTGGGGGGGAGAAAAACCACGCCGCGACACTGGAGACCCTCGGCCCGCGGCGCTGACCCCCCACCCCGCCTTGTCCTGTCCCCAGATGATCTTCCCCCTGCGCTGGCAGTGCCCCTACATCCCGCTGTGCCCGCTGGCGCTGGCTGACGTGCTGTGTGCCCCCGTGCCCTTCATTGTAGGCATCCACTCCAGCTACTTCGACCTCTACGAGCCCCCCAGGGACGTCATCTTCGTCGACCTGGACACCAACACCATCTTCCAGTGAGTATTCCCCCCCCACCCCCCGCCCCCCCCCAATTTTTGGCCGTGTTGGGCTGCGTGGGGGGATGCTGGGGCTCCACCAGCCGCCTTCCCCTCCTCCCTCTGTCGTCCCCCCGCCAGGAGCGAGGAACGCAAGCTGCTGTCCCCCCGCTCCCTGCCCCGCCGGCCCTGCAAGGTGCTGCTGGCCTCGCTGCACAACCTCTCCCAGCAGCTGGATGAGAGTGAGTGTGTGTGGGGGGGGAGCTAAAGATGGGGGGGGACGGGACACCCCGCAGCTGCCTGCGCTCCCCTGGGGCTAATTTCTAATTTCATTTCCCTTCCCCACCTCTTGGTTTCGCAGTGTACAGCGGGCCGGGGGAGGAGGCGTCGCTGGAGCTGCTGCTGAGCGACGCGGAGGCGGCGCGGGGCCGGCGAGCGCAGCTGGAGCTGGAGGCGCGGGCGGCTTTCCTGCGCTTCATGGCCTGCGCCCTGCGGGGTTACCGCTCCTTCCTGCGCCCCATCGCCCCGGCGCCCGCCCCGGCCGGCCGCGACGCCGGCAGCCTCTTCGCTTTGCAGGGTGGGTGGGTTCAAACCGAGCCAAAACCGGGCTCAAACCACGACACGGGGCAAAAAGGAGGGTGGGGTGGGGGGGGTGACCAGGGTGGGGAGGCTGGTTTGCAAACCCCCCCCCCCCCATCATCTCAACCACCTCGTTCCCGGCCCCGCAGGGTTCCTCAAGTCCCGGGAGCGGGCGTACCACCGGTTTTACGGGCAGCTCCTGCGCACCCAGCTCTTCACCCAGTTCATCGAGGACTGCTCCTTCGCCAGCGACCGGGACCCCTGCCTCGAGTTTTTCGACACCTGCGTGGATAAGGTGGGTCCAGCCAGCCCTGCGCCACGTCCTTGTATCCCCCACGTCCCCCCCCCTTCCCTGACCCCCCGCGCCCCCTCCCCAGGTGCAGGCGGAGCTGGAGAAGCCGGAGGACACCCCCTTAATGGAGCTGGATGACCCGCGGGGGGGTGAACACACTGTTTTCATCACCCCCCCTGAGCAGCCGGCAGGTCCTGACGGCGCCGAGCTGCCTGCGCGGTACCGGTGAGACCCACCCCCCCACCCCATCAACCCCCCCCTCCCCAGACCTGTCCACTCCCTGTGTCCCCCCCAACTCAGCCTCTGCTCCCCCCCCCCCTCCCTGCCCATCAGCTATGATGGGTTCCCCACCCTGCGTCCCGAGCTCCTGGAGCCCCCCCGGGACCCGTTGGTGGCCCAGCTGTGCCAGGCCAGGAGCAGTGCTCCCAGCAGCCCGGCCCCACGCAGGACCAAGCAGGTGAGTGGGGGCCGATGGTGTGATGAGTTGGCCAGGCCTCAGCGGGGATGGCGAGGGGCGCAGGACGCCGGCTGTTCCCCCCCGCCCCCCCGCCACCTCAACTGCTTCCTCTTCCTCCCCTCATCCCCAGGAGATGAAGGTGGCCCAGCGAGTGGCCCAGAAGTACTCCTCGGTGCCCGACATGTGGGCCAAGTGCCTGTTGGGGCACTGCTACGGGCTCTGGTTCCTCTACCTGCCCACCCACGTCCGCGCCGCCCCCGCCAAGCTGCGGGCGCTGCAGCTGGCCTACGAGGTCCTGCGCAAGATGGAAGCTCACAAAGTGGTGCTGCCGGACGAGGTAGGTGGCATTTTAGGGGAGGTGACGTCACTTGGAGGCGGAGGGGACACACACACACACACACACACACACACAACCCCTGGCCACCCCTGATTACCCACGGTTGCTCCCCCCCCCCCCCTCCCTTCCGAGGTTTGCTACCGCATCCTGATGCAGCTCTGCGGGCAGTACGGCGAGCCGGTGCTGTCGGTGCGGGTGCTGCTGGAGATGAAGCGCGCCGGCATCGTGCCCAACACCATCACCTACGGCTACTACAACAAGGTGCGGGGGGGGACACACACACACACAACATGGAGGAGGGGGAGGGGGTCTGGGGGGTCCCTGCTGGCACCTGACACACCCCCCCATACACACCCCCCCCCCCCTTCTTTCTCGCAGGCGGTGCTGGAGAGCAAGTGGCCGGCGGGCACCCAGGGCGGGCGCCTGCGCTGGGCCAAGCTCCGCAACGTGGTGCTGGGGGCCGCCCAGTTTCGGCAGCCCCTGCGGCAGCGGGAACGCCGGGCCGCCGCCGTCGCCCCCCCAGGTAGGTAGGGATGACGATGGGGGTGGAAATCGGGGGGAGGCAACGTCACAGCACCCTTGTCTCTTCTCCTAGGTGGTCGAGCCCCCCCGGCGCCCCGTCCCAGCCTGCAGCGTCAAACCACCTGGGCTGGGCGCAGCCTGAGGGACCCCCCCCCGCCCCCCCGGCTGGTGAAGAGCGGCAGCCTCAGCTTCCCCGGCAGCACCCACGGTGAGGAGGAGCGGGGGGAACCAGGGGAACCCCTGGCTACCCGGCCCCCCCTTCTTCCCACAGCCCCGGACCCCCTGCCCCCCCGGCTGCGGGGTCCCCCCGGTTCGGCCGACGGGAGCCTGTCGGACATCAGCTTTGCCACGGATGAGAGCGACCGGGCGGACGAGGGGCCGGCGGGTAGCGGGGGGCTGCCGGGGGGCACGCCGCGGCGGGGGCTGGCGGCCAAACTGCAGCAGCTGCTGTCCCCTGGCAAACGGCCCCCGCTCCGGCCGGCCGCCAGCACCGAGCTCCCCGCCGGCCCCCGCGATGCCACCGCTGCCGCCTGCCCGCGCCGGGGCTCCGAGCAGCGGGACGGCGAACCCCCGCCGCGCCGCAGCCCCGTCGAGACCCTGCTGCGCCCACGGGAGCGCCCCGAATCCACCGCCTCCGAGGTACCCGGCTTCTCCCCGGGGGGCTGTGGCTGTTTGTCTGTCCATCCTCGCTGATAGTGTGTGTGTGTGTGTGTGTCCCTCTCGCAGAGCTCTGTCTCGCTGGGCAGCGAGTTGGACCTGTCGGACACGTCGGTGGGCAGCGCCGGCGTTCCCAAATCCTCCGAGCCGCCGGCTGACGGGGTGACGGGGCAGGAGCCGCCCGCCGTGGAGGTGAGTCGGGGTGGGGGGTCCCGTCCTCCTGCAGCCCCCCGCCTTCCTCTTCCTCCTCCCCGGGGGCTGACGGTGCCGCCGCCGGCGGGCAGGTCCTGCTGTCCAGCTGCTCGCGGTGCCAGGGCTGCGGCGCGCTGGTGTACGACGAGGAGGTGATGGCCGGCTGGACCTCCGACGACTCCAACCTCAACACCACCTGCCCCTTCTGCGGCCGCTCCTTCGTCCCCTTCCTCAGCATCGAGATCCAGGACTTCCAGCTGCCCCCCAGGTGGGACCCCCTCAGCCCGGTGGGACCTCGCACACCCCCCTGTTCCCCATCTTCTGGGAGAAACCTTAATGTCCCCCATCCTCCCTGGTGTCCCTTGTCCTTCAGGGGAAAACCCTAATGTCCCCGGTGTCCCCAGTCCCCTCACTGCTGCCCACCAGTCTGTCCTCTCCGGGGCAAGACCTTAATGTCCCCCATCCTCCCTGGTGTCCCCTTTGCTACCCACCCGTGTCCCCTGTCCTCTGGGGGAAAACCCTGATGTCCCCCATAGTCTCCAGTGTCCCCAGCGTCCACTGTTTGTCTGTCCTCTGGGAGGAAACCCCAATGTCCCACACCCACCCCGGTATCCCCAGTGTCCCTAACACTCCTCTTTGCTGCCCACCGGTGTCCCCCGTCCTGCCCTCTGGGGGAAAACCCTGATGTCCCACATAGCCTCCAGTGTCCCTGGTGTCCCCGTTGTCCCTAACTGCTGCCCACCAGTGTCCCCTGTCCGTCTGTCCTCTGAGGGAAAACCCCCAATGTCCTGCATCCTCCCTGGTGTCCTCAACATCCCTCTTTGCTGCCCTCCGCTGTTCCCCAACCTTCCACCCCCTGGGAGAAAACCCCAATGTCCCACATCCACCCCGGTGTCCCCAATGTCCCTAACCCCCATTTTTGCTGCCCGCCTGTGTCCCCCCATCCTTTGGGGGAAACCCTAACGTCCCCCATCCCCCCTGGTGTCCCCAAACCCCCTCTTTGCTCTCCACCATTTCCCCCCATCCTAACATCCTCCGGGGAAATCCCTAACATCCCGCATCCTCCCCGGTGCCCCCCCACTCTTATTTCCATAACCCCCCCCCCTCTTCGCAGTGCCACCGAGGATGGCTCCCTCCCTCCTCCCGCCGCGCAGGGACCGGTGCTCAGTGACCGCCGCCGCTGCCTGGCCCTGGATGAGGCCGAGCCGGGGCTCTGCAACGGCTGCCCGGATGCTGCGGTACGGCGCGAGGCACGGGGAGAGGGGTGACAACCAGCCCCACGAGGTGACAAGCAAGGGGGGGGGGCGGGACGGGCAGTCCCAGCAGCACATGTGTGCGTTTCCCCCCCGGCCCCCGTTTTTCCCACAGATCCCACGGCGATCGGAGCGGGTGGCTTTTGCTTATCTGAGCCCGCTGGTGCTGCGGAAAGAGCTGGAAAGTTTGGTGGAGAACGAAGGCGGCGAGTTCCTGGCGCAGCCGGAGCTGGTGGACAGTCACCCCATCATCTACTGGAACCTCGTCTGGTATTTCCAACGCTTGGGGCTCCCCAGCAACCTCCCCCGCCTGCTCCTCGGCTCCCAGCACGTCACCCCAACCCCGCAGGTAAGGGAGTAAAGGAAGTTGAAGGGGGGGGGGGGGGTTTAGGGGGGCCGCCAGCCCAGTGCCCACCTGCCCGTCCCGCAGACGCAGCCCCCCGATTCCTCCGGCGTGCGCGTCCGGCTGCTCTGGGACGTCCTGACCCCCGAACCCGACAGTTGCCCCCCGCTTTACGTCCTGTGGCGGCTTCACAGTGAGTCGGGGAAGGGGGGGGGTGGTGGGGACGGGGGTGGGAACGGCAGCTCCGGGGCAGCGCTGATCCTCCCCCACACCTTTTTTTTTTTTTTTCTCTGTCTCTGTGTGTCCCCCCCTCCCCAGGTAACGTCCCCACGCGGCTGCGGTCCTGGCGGCCCCACGGCCACCCCTTCTCGCTGGCTTTCCTCGAGGCCGTGCTGAGCCACGTAGGGCTGAGCGAGGTGCACAAAGCCATCGCCCTCTTCCTCGAGACGCTGGCAGCCCCGGGGGGCCCCCGGCACCTACAGAGGTACCCCCCCGCCCGCCCCCCCCCCCCCCCCCCCCCAACTCCGCAGCAGGCTCGTGTGTCCCCTCCCTCGCTCCTCACCCCGCTCTTCCTTCTCCCCAGGAGCATCTACCGGGAAATCCTCTTCCTCACGCTGGCGGCGCTGGGCAGGGACCACATGGACATCGGTATGGGGGGGCTCGGGTTGGTGGGGTGGGGGGGGTGGAACTGGGGGGTGACACTGATGGGCTGTGTGTCTGTACCCCCTCCTCTTCCTCCTCTTCCTCCTCCTCGCCTCGCAGCCGCCTTCGACAAGAAATACAAGTCAGCTTACAACAAGCTGGCGGGGAGCCTGGGCAAGGAGGAGCTGCGGCGGCGGCGGGCGCAGCCCCCCAGCTCCAAAGCCATCGACTGCCGCAAGAGCTTCGGGGCCACCCTCGAGTGCTAGAGGTGGCCCCCCGCCCCCTCCCCACTGCCCCCCCCACCCCAGGGATCTGTGTGGGGGGGTCCCCAACCGACCCCTCCGCTCCCCAGCCCTAAGGGTGGGGAGCCCCCTGCCACAGCCCCTGCCTCACAAAGGGTTTTATATGTCAGTGTTAATATATTTTTATTTATTTATTCGCTCCCGCCACCCCCCCTCCCCAGCACCCCCTCCTCGCTTGTGCTGGCAGCCGGGGGGGGTGCTGGGATGGGCTCCACACCGCTCCCCCCTCCCCGTTCCCCCATCCCCACCTGCCCGTGCCCGGGGGTGGGGTTTTGGGGTACATGGGGGGGGCGGTTTTGGGGGCCCCTCCCCTCCCCCCTCGCACTGTGCAATAGGAGCCCCCCCTCACCCCGGGGGTCTGTAAATAAAAGCCACTGCGGTATTTTCCCAGCTGCCTCCCCGGGCGCTTTTTTAGGGGGGTGTTGGGGGGGAACGGGACACCCCCCCCCCCCCGAGGTTGTCGACGACACCATGGTGGGGGGGTGAGGTGCTAGAGCGTTGGCCTGTGGCCACGGCAGCCATCTTGGGGCCTGGCAGCGGCCTCCTCGGCGCCGGGGCCCTGCGTGACCCCGGGGTGGGGTGGGGGGGCGGTATGGGGGTGTGGAGGGAGGGGACACGGCCCTGCCCGGTACCGGGGGCCCCCCCGGCGTCGCGCGGGGCCACGTGCACCCCCGGTCCCAGTCGCCACGTGGCTACGGCGGCCGCTTTGGGCCCGAATTCCCCCGCGAACGGCGCGCGGGGGGGGGCGGTTTTTTTTGCCCGCCGACACCGCGCGCGGCCGGTGATACCCGGATGTCCAGACTCGGGGACCCATTAAAGGCGCCCCGCGGGGAAGCTCGGCGGCTTCCCATTGGTGAAACCGAGCGCCAATCTCGGCGCCCGCCCGCCAGTAAGGGAGGGGAGGCGGGGCCCGCCGAGGAAGCCGACGGGTCCGATTGGCGAGGCGGAACGCCCGTCGTCGCGCCGCGCCAATGGGCGTCGCGCCTGGGGGTCGGGAGGCGGGGCGAAAGCGGCGGGGCCGCTGCCCAATCAGCGGCATTGTTTGTGGTGGTGCCGGCTGCGCTCCGCGGCGGCTGGTGGCTGCGGCGGCCGCGTCTGCTCCGCCCGCCCGGCCCGGCCCGGCCCCGGCTCGGCCCCCCCGGCCCCCCCCGACCCCCGGGGCGGCGTCCCCCGAGCCAGGTGAGGGCTGCGGGGGCGGGGGGTGCCGGGCCCGAGGGAGGGGGGGGGCGGGGGGGCAGGGCCTGGCTGTTGGGGGGTGGGGGCGAGCCCAGAGGCTGAGGGGAGGGAGGTGGCGGCGGGGGGGGGGGGGGGAAATATGTGTGTGTCTGTATTTGGGGGGCAGCACCTGTGGGGTTGGGGGGGGCGGGGAGGGTTTTTTTGTTGGAGATAGAGTCCAAGAGGTTTGGGGGGGCGGGGGGGGGAGGGCAGAGCGTAGGGATTTGGGAGGGTAAAGGGTGGGGTGTATTTGTGGAGGCAAGGATAGAGATTTTGGTGTGTGGGGGGGCAGAGCCCTGGGTTTCTGCGTTAGCATGGTGCAGAGTTCAGGGGGGGCTTCGGGGGCCCGAGGCTCGGGGGGGGGGCTTGGGGGAATACGGGGGTTGGGGGGAGTAGAGCCCAAGGGATTTTGGAGGGGCGGCAGGGGCTGAGCCAGCCCTCGGGACTGGGCGAGGGCTGGGGGCGGGGATCCCCCGTGGTAAAACGGGGTGTTGGCTTTTCCTCCAGGACTGAGGCGGGGGGGGGGGGGGGGGGCCGGTCCCTGCCTGGCTGGGGACCGTCTGGGCCGGGGTGGGGCTGTCTGGGCCGGGGGCGGGGGGGGAAACGGGGTGCGGGCGCTGCCTGGCTCCGGGCCTGGTGTGCGTGGGGGGTCCCCGGGGCAAGGGAGAGCGGGGAGGGGGCGGCTGCCATCCCCCCCAGTAACGAGAGGCAATGGAGCGAGGCGGGAGCAGCCGCCTCTCTGTGCACCTGGAGGGTTTGGGGGGGAGCGGGGGTGTCTCCCCCCCCCTCCCTCCTTCATCCTTGGGGTTGGGTACCGCTGCTTCGTGGCGAGCGATGCTGCGATGAGGGGGGGCGGGCTTGGGGCTGGCTGCTCCCCCCCTGTCAACCAGAGGGGACACCCCCTTTGTTTCTTCCTCTTCTGACGGGTTTTGGGAGCGATTCCCGTTTCCTTCTGCGTTGCCATCGCGGCGTTTCCCTGCTCCCTCGTTAGGGAGGCGATGGGGACGGGTGATTGACTGTCCCTGCCTCTCTCTGCCGCCCCTCGGGAAACCAGGTTTTCTGCCCTGCAGGATTCTGCCTCCTTTCTTCGCTACCTGCACCCCCGTCAAGCTCCTGATGCTCCTTCCCCACGTCAAAACCAGGAGGGGGGGGAAGCCAGGAAAACTTTTCACATCTCTGCTGTAACGTGGAGCAGGAGAGGCCAGCGCCTGCCTCCTCTTTCCATGTGGGCAGCGCAGGCAGCCCTGCCTGCGCCCCTTCCCCCTTCTGCCGTGGGGAGCGGGGCGAGGCGGGGTGAAAAAGCTGCTTTTGGGGAGGCACGGGCCCTTCCTCACTTGGTGTTTGGGAAGCTGGGCAGCGTAGTTCCTCTCCCCTTTGCTTGATTTCCCAAAATAAGAGTGTTTGAGGTGTTTAAAAATGCTCTCCCTTCCCCTCTGCGCCTAGAAAGAAGGGTCTCTTTGATGGCTGGGGGGGGGGGTGCTTTGCCAGGAAGAGAGGAGGAGGAGGTGGTTTGGGCAAGCGGAGGGTAGCTGAAAGCAAGGAGGAAGAGCGACAGCATATGGATGTGATCGTATCGATTCGCTTTAGCTGCCTTGCCTTCCTCGCCTTCTGTTTGCTGAAATCACCCCCCGAAAAGGGATTTTTTTAATTTATTTTTTTAATTTTTTTTTTTTTTTTTTTGAGCGTGCCTCGGCTGCTGACAGGCTGGAGGAGGAAGGGGGGGGGGTGGGGTGGGGGGGTATGAGCCTGTGGGGAACGGCGTCCTTCTGGAAGAAGGTGTGGGAGGTTTTGACTCTTATTTCTCAGTGTTCTGCGATGGGGGTTGGGGAAGGATTGCAACAACAAGCGGTTCAAGAGGACGGTGGTTTTTAAGGATTGTGCGTGGTTGGCTATGGGCAGAGGATCGCGTGCCTTCTCACCGGGGAGCCGAGGGCTGGCTGTGTTTGAGCTGTCGAGGTGTGCAGGGAGACACCCCCCCACCCACCCCCCCCCAAGCCCCTCGAAACCCCGGGTGCTCTGCTCTGGCACACCCCTGGATTTGAACCAGCCCGTGATGCTTCTGTCACCGAGAGCAAACACGATTTCAGCTCACGTGGGCGCCGGGGGAGCTCGGTGCAGCCGAGGTGCCCGGCATCCTCGGGGTGAAACGCCGCCCTCACCCTTAACGGGGTTCACCTCCCCGTGGTCCGTAGGGATCCCCCCCCCCCCCCCCAGCCTCGCTGCGATTTAGGAGCGTGCCAGGAATCTCTCGCATTCCTGGTTTTCCCAGGCGCATCGGAGCTGCCGATGCCCCGGCGGTGGGAAACAGCCAAAAAGACCCACCTCGGGGCCGGCGACCCCGTTTCAGAGCTGTTGAGATCTTCAGCCGCGAGGTGCAACCTTCGCTTTGGCGCTTTTCCTGATCACGAGGCCGCGTGAAACCGAATGTGACGTGCAGCTGACAGGGAGCATCCATCTTTGCAGCGCTGCGGTTTGCCCGTGCCGAGAGCGGCCTGGCTTCCTCTTCCGACGGCTAACGGGCTCCCGCCGGTCGGGGCACCCGGCTCCGCACGGAGCATCCCGGTCCTTGCTCTGCCCCCCACCGCTCCGGCGCAGCGGGGTGGGGGTTGCTGCCTCCTTTCCGACATTTCTGAGAGGGGGGGGGTGGGGGGGGAGAGCAGAAATATCTACTCGGCAGAGTTAATTAAACTTAAGATGCTCTTGAAAGTGTCTTTTCTGCCAATGTTTTCTTCCGAGGGAGCGGTGTGGGGCTCGTGATCAACCACTCGCAAGATGCAGGGGGGTTTAAATAAGAGGAGCTTCCCGGATTCATTCACTGAGCTGCTTTCATCGCTCTTCAGCATTGAAGGGAAAATAATCACTCGAGCTTTTTTTTTTTTTTTTTTAATTATTTTATTTTTAAATTATTTCCCTGATAACTGACAATCCTCTGAGCTTTGCTCTTGCCCACCCAACACCAAACCGCTCACCGGATCCTGGTCTTGCCGGGGGGGGGGTGGGGGGGTGGTTTAGGGAGCTGCAGCCCCTGCGCGTGGGATAACTCGCCCCTTTTTGGAGCCAGCGAGGGGGGAGCCTTTGTCTGGCGAGTGGCCCCGCTGATCCCAGCTCGAAAGGAGTCCTGTTGCACCGCTCAGTTGTAAGAATTGCTGATTTTTAAAACATTTTGGCAATAACAAGAACTGGGGATGTGTGTGTGCGGGGGGGAAAATCCCGTTTATTTTTTACCACCCAGTGTATTACCCCATAGAGAGCGACTTTTAAAGGGGTTTTGGTTTGGGTGAGTGTTTAAAGGTGCTGGCGTGTGAGCACCAAACTCATGGCTCTGCATCATGTTTGTGCCGAAGCACAACAGCAAAATGTTTCTGTTTAAAAAAAAAAAAAAAAAAAAAGAGATTGGCTATAAATCTAATCCCCATGTAAAGCTATCCACCTCGCGCACAGAAATTCAACCTATCAGGCCGTGCCACATGCCGCTGCAGTTTTACAGCGTTGGATCGACCGCTGGAAGATGGAGAAGAAACTTACTTTTACGCGGAGCTGGCGTGCCGAGTCCTCGCCGGAGCTTCTGCGCGGGCAGGTCGAGCGCGGACGCAGTTTGGGGATCCGTTTGCTTCTGTAGGACCTCGGTGCCGCGAGCGATCCCTGCGGGGAAAGCCGCGTTTTTGGGTTTCGCGCAGAGATTCGTGGATTTCTGCTCCTTAATCTCGAGGTGGTTCAGAGGAGCGCAGTTACGGATGGCTGGGGTTTCATTTGCGGTGACTTTTTTTTTTTTTTTGTTGTTGTTGCCTGTAGGTTATTTTGCAGGGTTTTTTTTTTTTTAAACACGTGGGATGGGATGATGTATTGCTGTTCCATAACTTGGTTTGCAGCATCTCGAGGTGATGCACCAAGTGACAGGGCCTGGGAAGTGAGATGTGATGAGCCCGTGTTTCTCTCCGTCACTGTTATGGGTAGACTTCAAGTCGTTTCTATTGATTGGTTTTGGTATTTCAGGTAATTCGGCTATTTAAAAAAAAAAAAAAAAAAAAAAAAGGGAAAAAGATCACAAATATTCTCTGCCTCAGCTGTGCTTCCTTCAGGAGGTTTCTGTGGAAAGCGGTGGAAAAGCGAGGAGCTGTGCTTGCACGTGTCCCGGTGGACCATCTGCCTGGGGAGAGGCTCATTTTGCCATGGCA